GGGGACGCTTTCTTAGAAGGAGTGCCGCCTCGGAGAAGGCGCGGGCCTTGTCTGTACATGTGAGGCCCGCGCCTTCTAAGAAGCAGCTACGTGCCGATACGTTCCCGTGCGGTTTCGCGTATCCTGTGCAGGCTGCGGGGAGATAGCGGCACTGGACCGGATGGGCTATCATGTCGGATTTTGAAGATATGCGCCTCGCAGCTAGCTGCTCCTATTGCCATGCTCGCACGTTCAATTTTGGAGAGCGGCGAGGGGCCCGAATCATGGAAGTTTCATTGGCTGCACCCGCTGTTCAAGAGAAGCGTGCGTTCGAATCCATCGAATTACAGTGGAATTCACCTCACATCCCAACTCAGCAAAGTCGTCGAGCGTTGCTTTGCTAGCGTGCTGCTTTCTTCCTTCGAGACCAGTGGAGCATGGGGGGGGGCAACGGTTGGCTTATCACACGAACCAGGGATACAGAGACGCTTTGGCATATATGGTGTGTTGTTGTGTTCGTGCTGTCTGCAATGGTCGGCGCGTGGGGTTGTAGTGCTCGGACGTGGCCGGAGCGTTCGACAGGGTCAACTCCGACCGCCTCATGGCTAAATTACGTGCGTCGGGAGTGTGCGCGCACGTTCTGGACGTCATTCGGTCTTGGCTTTCGGGGAGACAGGTGCATGTCAGCGTGGACTGAGCCCTCTCCAAGCATTTCTTGCTCCAAGACGTGGTGTTCCAAGGCACGGTTCTGGGGCCGCCGTTGTGGAATGCGTTTCATTGTGATGCCGAACTTGCTGTATCTGCGGCCGATTTGACGGAGTGCGTTTTCGCTGACGACCTCAACTGCTGGAAAGAGTTCGACGGTGTGGCCACAACTTCTTCTATCCTCGCTGAGTGCCGCCAGTGCCAGTCCACGCTTCACGATTGAGGCGCGACCGGCCAGGTGATTTTCGAGGCGACCAAAGAGAGCATGCACATTCTTCACAAGTGCGGGCCCCACGGAGGCGATTTCAACATCTTAAGCGTACTCTTCGACCCCAGGTTAACCATGTGTCGTGCCGTCCAAGAGTTTGCTCGCGAAGCCTCTTGGCGGCTCCGTGCGCTGTTTCGGTCTAGCAAGTTCTACAGCACAGCTGGTCTCTTCAGGTAATTCAAGTGCCATCTTGTTTCATTCGTGCTCGGCGCAGTCCCAGCATCCTTTCATGCAGCTGATACTGCCTTAGCTCCGCTGGACGGCTTGCAGGGTGAGTTTTTCCCTGCATGCTTAGTGGGGAGTGGGGTTATGGTTTTCTTCCCTGCCTCGTCGCACCCGCGGCCCTCACATACCACACCCGCGGCCCTCACACCCCACCTTCCTCTTCCTCTCCTTTCACACAGCACAACACATCGCAGCACAGCGCCGCACAGCACAGATCAGCAGAGCACTGCACAGCACAGCGTAGCACCTCAGCACGGCACAGCGTAGCTCAGCACAGCTCAGCAGAGCACTGCATTGCACAGCACAGCAAGCGCACCACAGTGCAGCAGAGCAGAGCACAGCACAGCTCAGCACAGCTCAGCACAGCACAGCACACATCACATTGACACACAGCACGTACACAGCACAGCACAGCTCATCTCAGCACAACATTGCACAGCACAGCACAGCACCTCAGCACAACACGCCTCAGCACTACAAAGCACAGCACAGCACAGCACCTCTGGACACCATCGAGGGTGCGCAGGGGGTGGTCTCTCAGCGCGGCCGCTATCCACGACACTGTCGCAAAACACCTAGCAGGCGTGGCACGTTCTGGACACCATAAGGGGTGCGCAGGGGGTGGTCTCTCGGCGCGGCCGCTATCCACGACACTGTCGCAAAGCCTAGCAGGGGTGGCACTGTCTGGATACCATCGGGGGTGCGCAGGGGTTGGTCTCTCAGCGCGGCTGCCATCCAGGACACTGTCGCACCGCCTAGCAGGCGTGGCGCTGTCTGGACACCACCGGGGGTGCGCAGGGGGTGGTCTCTCAGCGCGGCCGCCATCCAGGACACTGTCGCAACGCCTAGCAGGCGTGGCGCTGTCTGGACACCATAGGGGGTGCGCAGGGGGTAGTTTCCCAGCGCGGCCGCTACTCACGACACTGTCGCACAGCCTAGTGGCACCTTCTGAACATTCTAGGGGGTGCGCAGGGGGTGGTCTTTCAGCGCGGCCGCTGTCCACGACACTGTCGCAAAGCCTTGCAGGCGTGGCACGTTCTGGACGCCATATGGGGGTGCGCAGGTGGTGGTCTCTCAGCGCGGCCGCTAGCCACGACACTGTCGCAACGCCTAGCAGGCGTTGCATTTTCTGGGCACCATGGGGGGTGCGCAGGGGGTGGTCTCTCGGTGCGGCCGCTACCCACGACATTGTCGCAAAGCCTAGCAGGCGTAACACTTTCTGGACACCATAGGGGGTGCGCAGGGGGTGGTCGGCCAGCGTTGCCGCTATCCACGGCACGGCCGTCAAGCCTAGCAGGCGTGACGCTGCTTGGGCACCATAGGGAGTGCGCAAGGGGTGGTCGTTCAGCGCGGCCGTTATCCACGACACTGCCGCAAAGCTCGGCAGGCGTGGCACTTTCTGGACACCATAGAGGGGGGGGGGGGGGGGGCGCAGGGGGGGGACTCCCAGCGCGGCCGCTATCCACGACACTGTCGCCACGCCTAGCAAGCGTGGCATTTTCTGGACACCATCGAGGGTACGCAGGGGGTGGTCTCTCAGCGCGGCCGCTATCCACGACATTGTCGCACAACCTAGCAGGCGTGGCACTTTCTGGGCACCACAGGGGGTGCGCAGGGGGCGGTCCCTCAGCGCGGCCGCTATCCACGACACTGTCGCACAGCCTGGCAGGCGTGGCACTTTCTGGACGCCATATGGGGGTGCGCAGGGGGTGGTCTCTCAGCGCGGCCGCTAGCCACGACACTGTCGCAAAGCCTAGCACGCGTGGTATTTTCTGGACACAATAGAGGGGGGGCGCAGGGGGTGGACTCCCAGCGCGGCCGCTATCCACGACACTGTCGCAACGCCTAGCAAGCGTGGCATTTTCTGGACACCGTCGAGGGTGCGCAGGGGGTGGTCTCTCAGCGCGGCCGCTATCCACGGCATTGCCGCACAACCTAGCTTCTGGGCACCACAAGGGGGTGCGTAGGTGGTGGTCTCTCAGCGCGGCCGCTATCCACGACACTGCCGCACAGCCTAGCAGGCGTGGCACTTTCTGGACGCCATATGGGGGTGCGCAGGGGGTGGTCGTTCAGTCTACGACACTGCCGCAAAGCGTGCCAAGCGTGATTATTCTTCGACGCCACAAAGGGGGTGCGCTGGGGTGCGGTCGCCATCCGTTTCGGGCTCGTAAAGCGTGGCAGGCGCGGCACCCCCTGGACGCCACAAGGGGGTGCGTTGGGGGTGCGGTCGCTACCCGTTTCGGGCTCGCAACGCGTTGGCAGGCGTGACGCTTTCTGGACGCCACAGGGGGTGCGTTGGGGGTGCGGTCGCTATCCGTTTCGGGTTCGCAACGCGTTGGCAGGCGTTGCACTTTCTCGACGCCGAAGGGACTGCGCTGGGGGTGCGGTCGCTATCCGTTTCGGGTTCGCAAGGCGTGCCAAGCGTGACACTTCTTCGACGCCACAAGGGGATGCGCTGGGGGTACGGTCGCTACCCGTTTCGGGCTTGCAAGGCGTGGCGGGCGCTGTACTTTCTCGAAGCCACAGGGGGTGCGCCAGGGGTGCGGTCGCTATCCGTTTCGGTTTCGCAAAGCGTGGCAGGCGTGGCCTTTTCTCGACGCCACGAGGGGGTGCCTTGGGGGTGCGGTCGCTCGCTGTTTCGGGTTCGCAACATGTGGCTGGCGCGGCGGTTCTCCTCTTCCACCTCTCCTCTTGAGTGGCGTCACCAACGGTATCGGCGGGGCAACGACCACCAGCATCATTCTCACATGCTTCACTTCAGCTATCATCACTCCAGCCATCATATAAGTATGTGGGGTTCCTCGGTAGCGTCATTGCAGCCGCTCGGGGTCTCCGAAGAGCAGGCCCTTTGTGATTACAGCCTCTCCCCGGCATGTATGAGACGGGACTTGTCTATCTCAGGCTTGTTGCACAAAGTTGTTCACGGCATTGCTCCCCAAGTACTTCGTGCACTTTTCCCTCCCATGACGGGCAGCCTCGAAAGCCACGGCTTGGTGCTGGGCGCTGCGTGATACTGTTGAACCTGGCATGCATCCAGCGATGTGCAGGTCCCTTTTTTGTTTTGTATTGCCAGCCATCTTCCGCAACGTTTCGTCGATTGCCCTTTTTGCGAAACAGTTCCAGAGAAAGCTCTGGTCCGCGGTAGTCGAAGCTATCAGATCTGGCCACAGCGCGTGGCACTATATGTTCAGTGTGCCGCGCTGCGCTCCGCAGTTACCAATCGCGCGCGTCCCTATAGAAGGAGGGTCTGTCGTAGAAAGGCAGCCTCCTTCCAAGAATCCTGCCTCCCTTCCCCCGCCCCCTCGTGCGCGCCGCCGATCGGCTGGGTCCCAGGCAGGGCACTTATGCACGGCGGCATATCCCCGACGATAACACTGTTTGATCTGGGCGGTTTTCGCCGATTTCGGCTTCCAGGGTCCGTCATCTGGCCCTGGGGGCCATCCGAAACGGTTCTGGGGCGAACACTGGCCCCGATGAAGAGATCGCGAGCTTTGTGGCCGCGGATTGACAACATCATACTGGAGGATGTCTGGGTCGGCGAGCTCCCAAGATGAGACCTTTGCGGCCACTGAGCCACGGTCTCGCTGTGGTGTTGTTTTCTTTCAGTGATGCCGCGCTCCCCTTCCATTCATGAAGGAACGGGGCGTGGAATTCAAACAGATCAGCTTCCCCTTCCTCCTCCTCCCCCTCCTCCTCCTCCTCCTCCTCCCCCTCCTCCTCCTCTTCCTCCTCCTCCTCCTCCTCCTCCTCCTCCTCCTCCTTCTCCTCCTCCTCCTCCTCCTCCTCCTCCTATCCCGCCGGCCCTGGCCTCGGCGCGCTGGAGGCGTCGGGCTCCCGACGGCATGGCCGTGGGCGGCGAAGCGGCCGCCAATGCCAGCGGGGAGAAGGACCCGCGCCCCCGCCCCGTTGGACCGCGGGGCCGGAGGTGCGGGCGAGGGTTGGTTGGGTGTTGCGTAATGGAGGGGTCATAAATGAGGGGGTGTCGCGGGTGGTCCGAAAAGGTACCCAAACGGTACCTAAACGAGCCCCCTGGGGCTCTGGAGGGGCCCGAAAGGGGCACGAAAGGAGACCTTTTCTGACCCCCCCATTTGTGACCCCCCCATTAAGCCATGCCCAATGGGGCCGTCTGGGGGTCCGAGGTGGCCCAGCAGTTGCAAGGCCAGCAGGATGGAGGGCGGGCAGGTCGCGGCTTCGGTTTGGCAACACGTGTGTTGCCTCTTTCGACCTCCCGGGGCCTCTCCGGCCCCGGGGACCATGGGAAACATATGTTGGGGGAAAGTTGCACCAGATGGACCCCTGGAGGAGTCCAGGGACCGATTTTGAGCGCATTCGGCTTCACCCCCCTCTCCTGATTTACATGTTTGGGGTCCCCACCAGTTCAGACCCTGGCCATCTCCAGCGTGAGGTCTGTGAGATCATCGGGGCATTGAGAAAACACCCACCCAGAGAAGGCGACAGAGGAACTCAGCGCTGGTCCGCTCGACGTTGGCACTCGAGTGTACGGTGCAGTCTCCGGTTGATTTTGCCAGTCGACGTGCGGCTCGCCAGATGCACGGTTTTCTTTTGGCGCAGATGACCTGCCCCGCTGAGATCCACTCGGAATGTGGTGCGCCGCGCGCACGCAGAGTACCTCTGGCCGCTTGCACTGAGGGCGTTTTGATACGTGCTGTCAGTCTTCGAGATCCGGGTGCTGTCATTGTGTGTCGCACTGGGCGTGGTCGCCGGGCGTCGGGCTCCAGCACCAGCACGTAGTGTTCAGGCTCGAGAGATGTCATAGGAAGCGGGGGTCTGTGGCTCCCGTCGTGATGCCTCGCGATGTCGCCTGCTTTCCGCCAAGGCAGACCTCGGGGGGAGCCCGGTACCAAAAGCAGACGAGACGGGTTTCTGGGACGGGCGTCTGACCGACCCCGGAGGCCCGTGGCGCGCCTGGGGCGCGCCGGCGGATGCTGGGTCGAGCGGCGCGACGATCCAAGAGATCTGCGCGAACCTCCGACGGGTTAGTGTCTCTGGCCCCCGAGCAGCGCTTGCCCTGGTGTGTGCGGACTGTCTTCGGCGAAGGCTCAGACAGTTTCTCAGACCGGGCATCGCTCGGACGTGTGCATTTTTTTCTCGGCGAGGACCATCGAGGAGCATCCTTGATCATTTGGCGAAAAAAACACGCACGAAGCCGGAAAAAAACACAGGGAGTGGACGTCCGAGCGATGGCCAGCAGAAGGCTGGATGACTTTCGAGCCTTCTGAGACAGCACCCCCCCCGGGCTCACTCCCCCCCCGGGCTCGCCGCCGATCGTCGGGTTTCCATCTTGGGCGTCTTGGAGCGACCTTTTAGTCAGGGGCGGAAAAGAGGGGGGTGATGACTAGGGGGGGTGGATATCATCGGGGGCCATGACATTTCCCCAGATCTCATGGCGCCTCTTCTTGTTTCATTACGGCCCTGGCCCCTCCGCTGGGCCGCGCACATGCCGCCGGTCATGATTTGCACCCCCCCCTCTTGGACACCCCCCTCTTGGCCGCTCCCGATTTAGGTGAGTCGGAGCACTCTTGGACACATCAGAAGGTTCGGGAGGCCGTTCTGGGCGGGCACAGCGTCCAGGAGATCGGCAGGAAGCACCCCAGAACTCCTTGAAAATCCACCCGGAGAACCCAGAAAGAGGCCCATAACCACAATGGTCCAGGCTGCAGCAGCAGCACAGCTGTGACCCTTGGGGCACTCCACTTCGTCCCAGAGGCACGGTGGTGGATGAACACTACCACGGCCATTACGATTCTGAATGCCATTCACGCGCCACCACTCGGAATTTTTGCTGACAGCGGAAGTGCGCATGCAGCCGAAAGTGTGGATGATGCCGATCGAGTTTGCCGATGCACATACATGTCCCCGCGCTGTTGCCCCTGTGCGCGGGCGCCAAGCTCGCGCGTGTTTTTGGCGCGTGTATAGTATTTAGTTCACAAGGGAAGGGAGGCAGAAAGAGAGAGAGAGAGAGAGACAGAGAACGAGATAGACTGAACGGTATGGAATTGTGGGGCCCAGTCAAGAAGCGGTAAGGCCATGGTGGCTGAATTTTAGGAACGTTGTACATCGTGTTCGCACCAGTGTGTTTGTCAGCGCCATCTTGACCTGCACGGTGTTTTGAGGGATCAACGCACATCTGGTGTGCGTAATTCTGCACTCTGTTATGTACGGTTTGCCATTCCAGACTCTGCGTGCGCTGCAGGGGCACACGATTCTGGAGCAGATCGAGATTAGCGACGAAAGCGACGAGGAGTTCGCCTACGAGGACAGTTTGCTAGCGTGCGCTTTGCAGCAAGCACACTAGGTCCCATGATACGTTCGAGTAGGTGTGATTCAGGGTCAAGCGCAAGGCACAACAGTCGACAACAAAAATCATTAACAAGTAGATTTTAGTGCTGGGTGGCTGAACGGTCTTGTATTGTTCTTGGGTGCGTGGCTGAAGTCGGGATCCGCGGTGCGGATTATTGCTGTTGTGGTGTTGTATTGTTGTGTTGTTGCTGTCCCACCCGCGACCCACTCCGCGACCCACCTGAGACGCTCGTGACCTGCCCGCGACCCTCCCGTGACCCGCTCACGACTCGCTCACGACACACCCAGCGACCCCCCTGCGACCCACCAGCGACACGCCCGCCACCCACCCGCGACCCACCCACCGCCCACCCGCACTGATTTGGCGAAAGATCGGCGCCTCAGGACTCAGTGCGAATTGATCAACCTGGTGACGTGCTGTGCGCAGTACGTTCAACGCGCCTCACCTATCCCCCGAGTCTTGCGTTTGTTGGGCGTGGCTGTCGTATTAATTGTTTTCTTGTTTGATGTAGGCGCCTTGGGGCAAGTAATCCTCGTGGGATCATGAGCACAGTCCAGGGGATAACGACCATTTAGATGAGGATCTCGCCAGTCCGCAAGGTCAGGATAAGTGTGGGAGACGTTATCATTTCTGCATTCCTCGCGACGCTCGCCTGCGAATATATTCCAGATGCGCTCAAGATGTCTGTAGCAATGCTGTGGAGTGCGCCTATTTCCTCGGCCGTTGATGACGTGCTGCACGTGTTGCGGTTGCTCGTTTACCAGGCTCGGGGCGACGCCGTGAAGAGCAGAAGGAGGAGACGCAGCGGCAGCAACAGCACCAGCTGCCAGCGCAGCAGCATGACATCTGGCCGCCTGCCCGATCGGCGGAGTCTGGTGTCATCGTGATGCCCTCCCATCCGACGGCCCATGGTTTCGCAGCCCGGCGGCAGCACGGCGCTCAGGAGGTCTCCCCGGGGCCGAGAGGAAGACGCTGCAGGGGCGCAGCCTCGTCTTGCACCTGCCGCTTCCTTCTTGTCTTCTCCTTCTGCCCCCCCGCCCACACTTCCCCTCGTTCTCCTGCCCCCTCTGCCCCTCGTGCCACTGACGTTCGCCAACCCTCCTTCCTCATCGTCCTCTCTGCCTCCCTTCTTCCCTGGCCCCGCGCGTCTCAGTGATCACATGACGGGGCCGTCTGACTCGCCTCACCGAATCCTTGGTTTTCGCCCGCACATATTGCATAACTCGGGGGGCCTGTGGAGGCCAGCAGGGGCTACATGTAGGGCTGTCTGTGCGGGCCCGAAGCCTCATCATCCTTCCTCTCCCTCTCCCGCACGTCACGTGCCCAGACCACGATGAAACTACGCCTGATCAGGCCTCCGGCCAGCGGGTGGCGAGCCCCCCTGTGAGGAGCTGCCAGAGGACCCGGAGCTGCTGGACGACGACGAGGAGACGCTCGACGACATCAACAGGACCCCCCCCCCCTCCCTCCTGATGTTGCTGCCGCTCCTCCTGCTGCTGCTGCTGAGTGAGAACCGAGAAGAACGAGCACAACAAAACGAAGCTCCGCGCGGAGTTCCCGGATCGGCGTTGGGCCCCCCTGTCGGCGCCTCCAGCGCCGCCCCTGGCGCGCTTCGCGCACCAGGGGAGGGGGGCCAGCGCCGATCCGAGAAAAATCCGCGCGGAGCTCCGACGGAACGCGTTTATGCAGCAGGCTCGTTTGTGGTTCCTGTCCTCTTGCTGTTCTCAGTTCATGGGCCTGTTTTCCACCACCACCACCATAAGTTGGAGGGGGAGGGGGTCCTCCTCCTCCTCCTCCTCCTCCTCCTCCTCCTCCTCCTCCTCCTCCTCCTCCTCCTCCTCCTCCCCCTCCAACTTATGGTGGTGGTGGTGGAAAACAGGCCCATCATCAGTGCAGTCTCTGCTCGGCGGAGGCAGTTCCTCCAAGAGCCCCAGGGGGGTGTGAAGGGGTCACTGTTTGAGTATCTTCTCGTGCAGGAAGTGGGCACTTGCCTGGGCGGAGCAGGGTGCCACCTCACGTTTCGAATCCTCTTCGAAATTGCTTCCCAATGACCACGTGGTCGTAGCTCCCCCTCGCAGGATGGGTCCTTGGCTCGGTTTCCTGTCCTCGGTGGCCTCTGGCCTGTGAGCCCCCTCTGGCCTACACGTCGGACTCGGCCTGCCTGCTCAGCGTGTGTTTTCCTCAGCGCCGTCTGGACGCCTGCCCCGGCGCTTGTAGCCTGGAGATCAACAGAAGTGCGGACCAGATTTGTACCCATAGCCACCGCGTCTTGGATTTGGTGTGGGAAGGGGTACCAGAACCCAGAGGCGCAGTAGATTTGGATACACTTTGACCGCTAGAGGCCATGATGCTTGTCCGCAGCCACTGCGCCTCTGGTTCCGAGGGACCGAAGGGAGGGGAAACCAAGGCGGCCAGAGCTGCCTGCCCCCTCCTTTCGTACGCCCCTGCTGCCCCTGGTGCCGCTGCTGCCCCCTGGCGCGCGGGTGGAGGTCTGGGTCACGGCCCGGCGGCTCGCGTGCGGACGCGGGCCGGGGCACCAGCTGCTCGAGCACGACAGCCCGGCCTTTTAGCTCAGAGCGGATTGCAGTCGACCCACACAGTGGGGATGGGCGACTTTCCAACGTTACCCTTGCATCCTTCCACTTCGGTCCCTCCTTGGCCGCTTTCGCTGGCCGCGCCCCGCTCGCCAGGTGTCGGCAGGGTTTTCCACGGCCCGTGCATCCTGATCGTGCGTCCTTATACGGGTCGACTGTAAGGGCGGGTCGTTGAAAGTAGGTATCTGTGGATTCCCAGATCCCAATCTATTTCGAGCGCCTTCCTACGTCAAGAACCGATCTGCTTTCACTGTGGTGTGTTATTCCCTGGGCGGGCCTGAACCCAATCAACTTGATCCGCCCTCCTACTTGATGTCTTTGCCTACCAGTACTTCTTCCGACTGGCGTGATGGCACGTACACAGTTTCTGCTTCGGAGCACACGAACGGGCGAGAAGCGAGAAGGGCAGCCGCAGCACGGCCCCAAGTGGCTCCGCCCGCGGTGCGGACGCGGCGGTACTCCGCCTTCTGCACCGGGCCGGGCGCGGAGGCAGGGCCTTCCGCTGCGGCTCGACGCGTGTCGTTGCTCGAAGGCGACGACGACCAGGACGACGACGACGACGACGATGGCGACGACGACGACGAGAATGACGACGGAAACGACGACTACGACCACGGCAATTAACGACGACGACGACAACCACGACGAAGACGACGACGACGGAAACGACGACGACGGGAACGACGGCGAGGGGGTCTATAGAGGCTTCCGGAGATCCCCAGAGGCCACGGCCCCGAGGCCTCTAGAGGCCCCGTCGGAGACATGCGAGCGCCGCAGGTTTGGTGCAGCGCGCAACAGAGTAGCCGGTTAGGACCAGGACAGGGGTAACCTCGGGAGGTCTTTCGTTATGCTTTTCCCGCTCTGTTTCTGTTGGCGGGGTGACAATTTCCTCCTCGTCTCCTGCTTCTCCTGCTTCTCCTCCTCCTCCTCCTCCTCCTCATCCTCCTGCTCAATCTGTCTGTCAATCAGGTCGCCAAGGATACAATTTGTTTCCACTGTTGCGGGGGTTCGAAAGACCTGGGGGGTAGTGTTCCACAGCAATTTCCGGAGTGGTTCCAAAGCGTCCTGGCTTGACCATAGTTTTAAGTCGGGCCTGTCCCTCTTCAGGAGGAATATTCAAAAATAGTAGAAAAATAGTCTGGGGACGTTTTTTTACTACGTTTGAGCATTTGGGGGTATTGTTTGACTACTTTTTATTTTTCGTCGAAAATCGGCCTGTAGGAGGACACGCCCGACCTAAGCATAGTCCTTGGGCTCTCCCACTTTCTCCCTACGCGCGACGGAGCGGTGTCGTCGCCTGTCCTGTCCTGTCCAGTCCCCTGACCCCGACCCGCCCGGCGGGAGCGTTCCACGCTGGAGCCGTCTGGGGGTTCCGAGGTGGCCCAGCAGCATTGGCTCCGGCCGGCAGGAGGGGCGGGTAGATTCGAGGTTGTGGGTTCGGGGGGGCTTTTTGCCTTCTTCGGCCTCTGGGGGCCGTCGTCGGTCCCCAGGGCCGCGAACACCGACTCCGGGGTGAACGATTGCACTAGATTCAGCGGGCGAAGAAAGGTATAAAATAAACTTTTCAGCCGTCGGGGACGCCTGCCCCTTGGCGGCTGGAAAGTTTATACCCCCACGGTGCCACCGTAAGGGTATAAACTTTCCAGCCGCCCTGGGACAGGCGCCCCCGATAGCGAAACAGTTTATTTTATACCGTTCTTCGCCCGTGAATAGAGGGACCCCAGGAGGGGTCTGGGGAGCGATTTTGAGCGGATTTGGCCTCAGCCCCCCCGGCTGATAAATTTTCTGGGGGCCCAGCCAGTTCAGACCCCCCGGCCGCCTCCAACTTCCATGTGACTCCCTGGGCTTCGCGTGGATCTCTCGATCTGCCGGGAGGGCGAGAGAGAGAGAGAGAGAGTATCCACGGCACGCTGCCGTCGGTAGACCGTCAGAGTGTTGCCTTCTTGTTCTTTCCCGAGGGCCTGTGGCGTGTTTTCAACAGACACGCGCTGCCGTCAACATCCACTGTAACGATGCGCTGCTTCATCAAGGTTACCGTTGCATCCCCGCGTCTTCGTTCCACCCTGAGCCACTGTTAACGCCCAAGGAGCTCGAGATGATGAATGGGACTTCCCAGGGTCTTGCATCCTGACCTTGCGTCCTCGATGTGGATTCCGACTGTACCACGCTAGTGGAATTCCATGGCGGCGTGCCACTGATGCTGTTTCTGCTCCCGGACTCTGTCCGCTCCTGCGCGCCCCCCACCAGGCTCCTCGCGGAGGCGAAGCCCGGCCAGGAGGTCGAGTTGGGATGGGGGAGTAGGGAGGGCGTGAAGGACGAGGGGGAGGAGGCCTCGTCCTCGCCTTCGGCACGCCTTAGGCGTGTTCCCGTCGGCACGCCTCAGGCGTGTTCCCGCGCCCCTCTTCCGCCTGTGCGCGGATGTTGCACTGGTCAGCGCCCGCGGCGCGACCCGCAGAGGCAAAAGAGGAGGTGGAGGACGAGGACGAGGAGGAGGAGGAGGAGGAGGAGGAGGAGGAGGAGGAGGAGGAGGAGGAGGAGACGAAGGAGGAGGAAGAAGAGGAGGAAACAACCATTTAAATGTCAAAGTCAACAGTTGCGTGTGCGTATGTGCACCAGGCTGTGGGCTCAGCGCCCCGCGCTGCCGCACGCCCGACGGGCGCCGCGGTCTTGCGAGGGCGGCCCAGGCACCCCTCAGCGGGCCGCCCGCAGGTGACAGCGACGCCCCCGCATGGGGGGAGGAGGAGGAGGAGGAGGAGGAGGAGGAGGAGGAGGAGGAGGAGGAGGAGGAGGAGGAGGACGAGAAGGAGGAGAAGGAGGAGGAATAGGAAGAGGATGAGGATGATGACGAGGAGGAGGAGGACGACGACGACGAAAAGGAGGAGGACGAGGAGGAGGGGGAGGAGGAGGAGGAGGAGGAGGAGGAGGAGGACGAGGAGGACGAGGAGGACGATGAAGGCAGGAGGGGGAGTATGGAGGAGGAAAAAGAAGAGACGGAGCAGGAGGAGTTGGCGGGATTCCTTATAGCCATGTTGGCTCAAGTGCTTTGGACGGAAAACCACATCAGTGAACACGTCTGGGCGCAAGCAGAGGTGGACAACGTTTTATATGTATATATATGTATGTTCTTTCTTTCCATCCCTTCCACGTTCAATTTAGATTCTTGCGTGCATCACACGAGGCTGTCAAGCGACAAACTGGTTGATCATGTGTTCTCGTGGCTCTGGGAAAAGGTCCTCAACCCCCTCGTGCCCGTCGACCTGGTGGACGGCAACTGTCATCTACCCTTGATGCCCGCCCTGCTCGTGACCGTTGTTCCCCCAGTTGGGTCTCGGCGATGCTATTTCTAGAGTTGATGAGGCAGAAACGTTCACCACGCGGCCCGTGTTTGCCCGTGTTTGTTATTGCGGCATCCAGCTCTGGCGGTGATGATATGGATGGCAGTCGCGCCCATGTCAGCACTACCCGTAATGAGGTCATGGTCGCCACGGCGTCGATGTGGTCCAGCGTCGATGTATGACCATCATCATTCGGCACCTACGCTGCTGATCTGAACCGACAATTGGAAAACGTGTTCGCAAGACCGGGAAACGGGTGGACGACCATGACGGGAGATTGCAATGCCCCGAATTGCGGGCCTGGCACCTCCAGCAGCATATGTATTTTATTGAGACGGGGCCGCCACCGCAACCCAACCTGCCATCATACTTTGGCAGGCTCGTACCCGACCGCTCATATCACCGTCCACGTCCCAGACGTGCTAGATCAGGGCGGCTTACCGACGCCAGCCCAGACGTCACAGGTCAAGAGCTCTGGAACTCTTGCGGCCCGGCGACTCTGCAGCACGTCGCCGAGTTCACATGTCAGGGTTATCTTGCTGCTCATGCTGCCCATACTGCTCGCTAGGCCATATCAGCCATCCGCACGAACACGAACGGATAGTGTTTTTTCTTTGCGACTTTTCCAGCTGGTGGTGCCGTTCCCCTTTTCGCCTGTTGCAATAAGGACCAGTTTCAGATTCACAGTGAGCTAGGTTTCGCAATCATCCGCGGTGAGATCGCAACCGAGTACCCGCACAACAAGTTCTCACCAAGGAGGGCATGGACAAGTGATGGAATTCTCGTCCATGGACAAGGGGGCCGCACAACGAATACTCGTCCATGAACAAGGGACAAGGCACCATGTCACCTGCGTGGACGAAGCTCGCCCGCATTACCCTTGCCCCGACGTGGGCGGCTCCGACGCTTGAACGGAGCATCTCGAGGACGCAGGACTCTGTTTTCTCAATGGAGACGATGGCCCCAACGATCGCGCAAGCACTTGCTCCCCGCGAGGCTCCTGGGGGCACGTGGTCTCGCTGGCAATTCCTCGAGGCCGTGGGTGGTTGCCGGCCCCGACGGGGCCTCGCTCCCCAATGCAAGCTGGAATGCGAATTCTTTCTCCCGCCGCACCCCTCGGCAATGCCATGAATCTCATGCGCCCCTCCTCCCTGGCGTCTCTCACCAGCGCCGCCGCGACTTGGGAATCCCCGAGCTTTGGTGCCGCAGCCATGAATCTGATCGTTTTTCTTGCGCAGGCCGCGCGATTGCTGCTGCGCCTGCTTGTCGAACGCGGGCGGTCGGTGCCATTGCGATGGCCCCCGCGCCCAGGAGAGCCCGAAGACTCCGCGCAGATTGACTCCGTGGTCCCTGGGGGGGGGCTGTGCCCACCGAGATGCAAATGAATGATGCGGCGCCCTGGATAGCGCGGCGCAACGCGAGCGATTGCGGCCCCTTGCGGGCCCGGAAGCATCGCATATTTGGCCGCGTCTTTGCTGGTGCTGATAGAGCCTCAGAGGACCCCCAGAACGAATTCGCGGTTTCCGCGGGCAACTGCAATGCAGCTGCCGCGCCGCCAACCCTGCTCGATCCTGCAGGCCCCCAAAGCCTTGGTTGCGCTGGCTACCAGACTTGGCGCGCGACGCAGGATGCCGTCGGCAATCAGATCCGCCCCTCCCTTCCCGCCGGGGTGCCTCTGGTTTCGGTGCCCAGGCGTCGGTCTCAAGGCTTGTCAGGTTTTGGTCCCTCGCCAGCTGCGCGCCGCGCGCTGCCTGGCAGAGACTCCCCCGGGCGGTCGACGCGTCGGCTGATGCGATGTCTTTGCGTTTGGAAAGTGGACGGGCGCCCTGTGGATGCCATCATCTATTTGGCGTCTCCATGCCGAGGCGGGGAGGCGAGGTCGATTTCGAAGGCGGACGGCGCGCGCGCGCTCGCGATCGACTTTGCCCCCGTGGGCCGAGAGGACACCAGCGACCAATCTCCGCCTCGACAATCGTGTTCACTTTTCCAATGAATAGGCTGCAGTGGCGAATGGTCTGCAAATGGAGCATCATCCAGCGACGGCAGCGCGGCGCCAACGTACTCCCGCGAGATATGTGCGCCGCGGCATGTTCGCTACGTCCATAAGCACGCGCGCACTTGCTCGCTGTCTCGGTCTTCGATATCGCGCAGCCCTTCCCGTCTGCCTTGCAGTTCTGGGGGGCGCGTGACCTTGGGTGCGGTTCGTCTCCCAGCAGCGCTAATATATGTTGTAATGGCCCTGTGCCGCGGCGTGGTGTGCATCTCGGAACTCGGCGAGCTGGCTATATATATATATATATATATATGGTCCTGTCATATCTGCCCGATTGTTCCAGGGATGTCTTGCTTCCAGCGCGTTGCTCGCCGCGTGCGTGGACCCATTCACTTGTGTTCCCGCCGAACCATGGGTGTCGAGCGACGAGGGTCAGTTAGACCCTGCGCCGACGGCATTGGCGCTACCCTCATATTGCTGGCCATTGTGGTAGCGCGCTCATGTTTGCCGAGCTGCTGGCCGCGCTCTGTCTGGAGAGCTCTAAATCCCATGCTCCCCCAGCTGCTGGCCCCCAGCCAGTTGTCCAGTCGCGCTGCTTCGGCGATGCCCTGCGTCGCCCAGATCGTGCCCTCGATTGCCGACCTTCCCGTTTCGAGTCGGCGACTTCGGCCGGGCCGTTCTCTCCGCCGCGCCGCGGGGTTGTGGGGGGCGGCTGACATCGGTGGGGGGGCGCGGGGGGGGCCCTCGCACATCTTCTTTTCTTGGTATACGTATGTCGGCCAAAACCAGAGCAGCCGCCGCCGCGGCAAGACTCGCTGGGGAAGGCAGAGAGACACCGACCTCTGGCGGCGCGCATTCGCAAAGAATTCCCCCGCCCCTCCCCGGTTTCTGGGGGACTTCCGCGCTCTGTCAACGGATGGGAGAAGCTCTTCTCCCCTGGGCTCGCTGACGTGATGTCCTCTTTGCACCTCTAGGAATCCGACAGCTACGTCCGCGATGTCCGAGTTCCTCTCGGCGCGGGCCCGCCCGAAAATTCGGCGCAAACCCTTCGTGGCTATATCGAATGCTCTGCGCACTACCCCGCTGGGCAACGCTCTTTCCTCGAGGCGCCCGACCGGAATCCTCGCCGATCGTCGGCGCATCCGTGCCGCCGCGCGGCCAGATGCGCGGGCAGCCCTTGCCTCCGCGCGCGTCGCCCTCGCGCTGGCCGAGGCCTGGGCGCCAGCGCAAAACTGGCTGACGCAGCGCTGGTTTCAACAGACTAAGTGTGATCACCGTCTCTCGGGGCTGATGACATCACGCACTGCTGGGATTGCATGCTTTGCGGCACTCTCCTCTTAGCCTTGGCGAGCCCGCTTTTCCTTAGTCCCCCGGGCCGTCTCGGGCTTTCTGCGCCCTCGAAGCTCTCGCTCCGCGCGTCCGCGGCCTCCTGCCTCCCCTATGACGAAATGCGCGCCAGGTCTCTGAATTGAGGTCGCCCGATCGAGCTTGCGGAGGCCAATGCCTTCCTGCCAGCGGTCCGCAGCAGCCTGGCGCGGCGGGCGGACAAGGACTGGACCGCCAAGCCGCTTGGCAGGTGGAGGAGGAGACGGAAGAGCGGAACGGGGCGGAATCTGTTCGAAAGGGGAGTCGCATTCGTGCGGGCGCTGATTTCGATCGGCATAAGAGCTCTCGGGCAGCGCTGCGGCACACGCGGCGTGCGCCAGCGGAGCTGCGGCGCGGAACGCCTACAACCTGCCAGCGGGCCTTTTGGAACGGAGGTCATAACGCGACCCGCTTGGACATGGGGGAACTGGCGTTGCGAAGCACTGCAGGTTCCCGCGTCGGTTTCGAGGGGGAGGGCATCCAGGGAACATGGGGGCGACGCCACCGACGGGGGACAGACGAGGAGGGCAAGAGGGGGGGCGCACAGTCATCACATTTTGTAGAGAGTACACAACCACATGCGGCTTGCACGTGGGGAGAGGGAATAGAGGACTTGGACGGGAGGAGTAGGACTGAAGCAGGAGGAGGAGGGAGTGAGGAGTGAGTGAGGTGTGAGTGGGGAGGGAAGGGAAGGAAGAGGAGGGAGCGGGGTGGGGAGGGATTGCTTTCTAGTGCAAGGCGACAAGAGAATTGCAGGACAAAGGGGGCGGGGGGAAAAACGCGAATGTCAGTTCCAGTTTCCCCCGTTGTCCACGTCCTCGGGGGCATCTGGGGGCCTTTTTGGTTGCTCTTGAGAGCCTTGGGCCATTCTGGAGTGTTCTTGGGGTGGGACGGCCCGCGGGATGTCCAAGACGGCCGAGGCTGACACCAGACTCGCCCAAGCCCCGCCTACGCTCCCAAGGCTTCAAAAGAGCCACGCTGGGATTCCCGGGAGCGCCCCAGAGAGACTGGGATATGGTGGTCCAGAGAACAAAGCACGCAGGGACCCGAGGACCATACAGTCGGTGCCCACGCCACGGCGGCGGGTATCGGAGGCGAGGGAAGTTTAGCGGGGCAACGTGGGGCAGACTGACAGGTGCGGGCAGGGAACCCGGGCTTGGGTGATGGCGCGGCTTTTCCTTTCGGAGGGGAGCCGCTTGAGACAGCGGCGGCTTTCCCGTCCTGCCCAGATTCGCTCAAATCGTTTCCCAGGCCTTTCCGGGGAACCATTTTGACACAACGAACTCTCGAGGCGGATCCGGCCGAGGCGATAAGTCAGGGGAGGCCCAGCCGACCCCTAGCAAACCATCCCCTTCTGTGACGTTCCGTCCGCCCCGCACCAGACGTATAGTATGCATGCGGCCGGTGGGAAGCTCGAAGGGCGAGGCTGACGTCTCAGAGAGGGATGGTGTGCTAGGGGTCGGGGTCGTTTTGGTCGCGCCGAGGGAGGGGCCCCCCGTGGAGCCCAGAAAGCCGGCAGCAGCGGGCAGGGGGGCCAGGGCGTGTCGTTGTCGTCTCGACGTGGCCCTACACTCCGACGTGCTCGCCGCCCGAGGTCGAGCCCGGCGTGGCCGACGGGAACTTCGCCAAGGTGGAGCAGCGGCCGCAGGCGCCCGCACCCTGCGGGCCCCAAGAGTACACCGCCGCCACCACCTCCACTCCCTCCCTCCCTCCCTCCCTCCCTCCACCCTCCTCTTCCATTCCTCCTGGCCTCCTCCACGCTCCTGACCACCACCACCACAACTTCCACTCCTCCTCCCTCCTCTTCCCCCCCTCTTCCCCCGCAGAGGGAGGAGCCGAGGGATGCGGTGTTGATGGTGTCTATGTTTTGGCTACGCACGCTGCTTCCTGCCTTCGTCCTGGGGGGTGCGGGCCCTGTGGGCTCGAGTGGATCCCGAGCTCCCGGTCGGGACGGGCGTGTCGCCGGCGTGTCGGGCGAGCCCGCATCCCATCGATTCAGAAGTCGTCGAACACGTGGCGAAATCCGAACCCTACCCACGCCTCCCATCGATTCCGGTTGATGGGGGCCGCGCGGAGTTCTTGGATCTGCGCTGGAACCCCCTGGCGGCGCCTCCGGCGCAGCCCCTAGCGCGCTCCGCGCGCCGGGGAGGAGGGTCCAGCGCAGATCCCATGAAAACCCCGCGCGGAACTCCGACTGTTTGCATGGATGCATGTCTCTCTTCTGGCATCAGCATCATCCAACCGATCCCCATGTCGGTTCGTCCATCCGCAAGGTCACCCGCCCAAGTGGGGAGAGGTCCCACAAATCCGAAGCGGGCAGCATGCAGCATACATCACCACCCAGGGTGGGAAGTCGGTCAGTGAAGCCAAGGCCATGCTGGTAGGGATCGCACAAGAATTTCGAAAAATCAGAATGGTGTTGAGACAAACATTGGCGAGCAACTTCCACAATGGAGGAACTCATGCACCCAGAAGGGGGGTTGACCCCTGGCTCCTCCCCTTTGCCTCTTTCTGCCCTGCGCCTGTCGCTCCGTCTCACTGGAGGAACGGGCCAGGACAGTCCTGCGGCAGGTTTGCTCGCCGGCTCCCTGGGCTCAAGGCAGAGAGCGGCCAATCCTTTGCGGTATCTCCCTCTCTCGCCTCTGCCTCCCTTTGCGGTATCTCCCTCTCTCGCCTTTGCCTCCGCCTGGTAAAACAAATTTGGATTGAACCTACATGTTAGTAGCTTTCGAGTCCCCCTGGCAAGAGTGCGGCAGGGGATGGGCTCGAGGAGACCCTTTCTCGGAGTCGAAGGTTCGGAGTCCAGGCGGCAGACCTTGACGGGCGGGGCGAGGTGGGAGCCGTAACGTAGCGAACCAGTGGTATAAGATGATGCTTGCTGCCATCGGTGCCGCCTGTCCCAGGGCGGCTGGAATGCTTATACCTAGACGTATCTAACCAACTGTGTGGGGCCGGCCGAAACCCGAGGCCGCCCCCGAGCGCCAGCCTCGCGAGATGGTCGAGGGGTCTGGTTGACCTTCAGTCGGGGAGGAGGTGTAATTATCCAGGTGTTTTTTTGTTTTACTCTCCCATTGGCGGTCAGCGTGGCATGGGCCAGCTAGCGAGGAGCTCGGCATGCCCCAGGTGAGAGCGCAGCTCTTGGAAGGTTCAATTCAGCCTCGGCGAAGGTATATCCGAGGTCGAAAGCAGGCCTGATCTTGCATAGTACCTTCGGAGTCTGATAAGTAGTGAGCTTAAAGCCGGGCTGGTCCGGAGCAATGGACCACCAATCGGGCTGAATGTATTTCGACCGTTCTCACGCGGACCTCCCAGGAGCTGCTTCCGAGGCCAGCGGAGGCCTGGCGTGTCCCAGATTGGAGGCATGGCTTTTTCCATACGGGGGCCCCGGGCGCCCAGGCCCTTCCCCCGGGGCTGGCGCTCAGGGCCCCTGGGCGACAAGACAGACCTCCGAGGTCTGGGTTGGCGGGGGGCCCCAGCGCCGGCTCTTCCGCACCGAGACCCCGTGAGGCCTGCCGGTGGCTCCTGGCGTCAGCCGTGCCACTCCTCCCCCCCCGCCAGGTGCCGCCGCTGCTCTTCCTCCGGGATCCTCTTGCCATTCAGCGCAATACATCCCCTAGCCCTGAGAACGCAACGACTCCGTGGCCCAACCTGAGTCCTCGGGTTTCAGGGCTATCCCTACACATGCGGGTGGCTTCGTTTGGGACAGCTACAAACGCACCAGAACCCCCCTAATGTTGTTGGCCCTCCTAACTGAGATCACCTCCCAGAGGATTAGAGGTTCTTTTGTTGCTTACCCTTCTGGCCCATGCCCTGACTTTCGAAGCAGCTGGCGTCTTCGGCACTTGCGCCACTCGGGGGCCGCGTCAGCGGGGGTTCGAGGTTCCAGGTTCTCTTGCTCCCCCTCCTCCCCCTCCTCCTCCTCCTCCTCCTCCTCCTCCTCCTCCTTCTCCTTCTCCTCGTCCTCCTCCTGTGTTTACTGGTCCTCGGCGATTTTCCAGCTTCGGGCTGCTTCATGGCGGCGAAACCGTGCCGAAAGCGTTCCGGGGCTGCCCGGGGATCGTCCCGAGCGGCCGCCGGAGACCCGGGCTACGATTCGAGAGCCAGGACGCGAGGATCGGGGATCTGCCGGTGTCGTGCCCAGGGGGAGAGGCAGAGGAGGCGGGGCTTCTCAGCAGGCTCAGAAGGCCGTCGGCCTTCTATCGGGGGAGCGTAAGACCCGGGTTTGCCAGAACTCGGGTTCGCCATCGTTTTTTGACGACCGCGACTCGGATTTTGACGAGTAGGAGTTTCGTGGGATGTCTGCAGCGGGAGGCCTCGTCAAAATGCAGGCTCGGCCTCGTCATTTTTTTGACGACCTCGTCGGGGATTTCCGAGTCCCCTGTACCCGGGTCTTACGCCCCCCTGAGATTCTAAGAAGCCTTCCGAGCCTCCTCCGAGGCCGCAGGGGGGGGCGGGGTCCTCGGGAGGCCAGCGGGCTTCTCTGGGAGGCCGCGCCGCCTCTCTGCGGGGGGGCCTGCCCCTCTGCCTTCCCCCCCAGCGGCGCGCCGCCGGGATTTGGGTGCTGTGTCCGCCCCCCTGCTTTTTGGACGCCCGAGGTGGGCACGGAAAGAATGGGCACTATGCCCAACGACAAATGTTGTCCCAAGCCAACAGCGGCCGCTGTTGGGCAGGCGGCCTTCTGTCTCGAATGGACACACGCCGCGGCGGCGTGGATAGCGAATCCTGTTGAAAATGAACAGGAATTGTTGTTGGGCATCGTGCCCATTCCTTCAGTACCCATTTCGGGCGTCCAGATGCTTGGGCTTGGGCTGCATTTTTGAGCACCTGTCGCTTTGGGGGCGCAGCTTGAGCACACAGGGCGGGGGGTCGTGGGGCCACATACGGTCGAGGCCCTGAAGAAGGAACCCTTTTCGCTGGGGAGGGGCTCCGTGTTCCTTGATTGCTTCACAGTTTGCCTTGGGTCTTCCTCTGGTTTTCGACGGGAAATCGAAGTTCAACTTGTGGATGAAAGGGGCCTCGTTCCTGATTTAGGGTTCCTTGGGTTAACGCTCCGACTGTACGGGGTTGCGATGCGATGCGGCTGGCCCTTTCGGCGGTGAGGTGGTCGACGACTTCATCCGCAACTTCTTGATCAAGCACAGCATGCAGCGCTCCCTGGAAGCCTTCCAGACAGAGTGGTACGAGTTGCAGCAGAACGGGAAGTTGCGGGAGCCGCGAGTAGTTTTTGCATGTGGCAGAGGCCTTGCATCTTTGATCTGTTGGGATGGGGATGATAAGGGGCGTGGTAATCTAATAGGCATTGCATTCTTGCCTAAATTGCCGCGCAATCCCGTGTCAAGGGAACACGTCGCGTGATTGTGCTTGTGTGTTTGCGCGTTTACGGTGGCATCCGTTTGCTTATTTCCAATACCCAATACCGTAAGGTCGGGTTCTTATTGTTAGTCGGACGCCTTCCGGACCTCATCTCCCTCACATCTCACACCGTCTTCTCCTCCTCCTCTTCCTCAGACCACCCATATTCAGACTTTCTCATACTCAACCTCACTCACACTCAGACTCACTCGTACTCAGACTGACTCACGCCCACACTCATTCATACTCAAACCCTCACTCAGACCCACTCATATTCCGACTCATTCGTAGTCAGGCTCATTGGCGAGCAAGTTGTGAGAATGTCTCAGGCGAGGCGCGGGTTTCAACTTTCCCAGGGGGGAGCCGCCAGAGAGTATAACACACCCATTCCCCCCCAGACTACGGGGATGTCTCAGACGAGTTGCTTGTTTGGGTGCCCAACACCGTCTGCTTTCAGAGCAGATTGTGAGGACGTCTCTGGCGAGGCGCTGGTTCCAGCACTCCCAATGGGGAGCCCCCAGGGTGCCCTTACGCGCCCAGATTGTGGGGATGTCTCAGGCGGTCTGCCCGTTTGGGTGCCCAACCTCCTCGGCTCTCAGAGCAGGTTGTGAGGACGTCTCCAGCGAAGGTCTGCCTGCAGCGCTCCCAAGGGGGGAGCAGCCAGGGTGTTCTCACGGGCCCGTTCGCGCTCAGATCGTGGGGTTGTCTCAGGCGGCGTGCGCGCTTGGGTGCCCAACATCCTCTGGTGTCAGAGCCGATTGTGAAGATGTCTCGAGCGAGGCGCCGGCTTCAGCGCCCCAAGGGGGAGCTGCCAGGGAGTGCGTCATTCCCCCATTCGCGTCTTCCGTAGCCGTGTTGGCTCAAGGCCCGCGCGCGGCCCCCCCCCCCCCTCGCAGCGCGGCCCCGCCCGGCCTTCTGCTTCGAGCTTCCCCCTACTGTGTGCTCCTGCGCCAGCCACTCCTCCGCAGCGATGGCCGTGGAGGAGCTTTCGAGCCCGGGTGGAGGGGCGATGGAAGCGAGAGGCGAAGGCAAATCCGTGCCAGTTGGTCGCTTTCTTTCGCCATGGCTATCTGCAAGGAAAATGGTTTAGCGGCAGTGGTTACCAGCGCTCGGATGAAGGCTTGGTGTCTGTGCTGAAGTACTCAGCTCTAGATGGATCCATCTCCGTGTGGGACCACGCGCTGGACTTTCGCAGCTACGCGCCCGATGATGATCATTGGGAGGTTGTCTTCATTACACGCCCCAGCTCGGTTGTGTCGACGCCACGAATCTGGCAATGGAGACGTCCACACTGTCGGCCTCACTAACGGAAGACCGTGTGCACTGTGGACGTGGAATAGATGGCATTGTGTTGGAGCCCGCCCAGTGGGGATTACGACTACTCGTGTTGATAAACAGTTTTTGCAGGGGCAACCTGCTCAACCCGAACCGCGAGGAGGCCAAGGAGGTCCAGAACAAATGGACCGACCGGGTAGATTTTCGCATCCCGATGCTGGCGCTGCACTCCCTTGCCTACAACGTAATGACGCGACCGCCTCCAGACCTAGCCGCCAAGATCCAGGGCGTGCAGGAAAGTGGCGGGTTGTCGAGACTGGAAGCCGGGGTGCTCGACAGGGAGCATAAGAGGACGCTTGGTGGACTCCAGTCGCGACGTTTGGGTGATGCGCGTGACTGATCAGCGCGGCCACGTCGTACACCCGATCATTGCTTCCAGTAGCATCCAGGAGTCATGTCGTGCCCGGGTGCGCGTGCTAACGGAGAAGCTCGGGGTCCAACACCAGGATACCCTCCGCACCAAGCATTTTGTCGGGGTCCTCCTGGAGCAGACCGGGCGCAGAAAGGAGGCCGAGGCCACGTGCCGCGAAATCCTCCCCGACCCCGACGGGACGCTCGGGGCCCAGCGCCAGGAGACCCTCCGCACCAAGAATCATCTCGCGGTCCTCCTGGAGCAGACCGGGCGCAGAGATGAGGCCGAGGCCATGTGCCCTCGACGCCCGGGAGGGGGCGCTGGAGGCCCAGCACTAGCAGGCCCTCAGCACCAAGCATAATTTCGTGGTCCTCCTGTTGCAGACCGGGCGCAGGGAGGAGGCCGAGGCCACGTGCCGCGATGCCCTTGCCGCCCCCGAGGGGACGCTCGGGGCCCAGCGCCAGCAGACCCTCCGCGCCAAGTATAATTTCACGACCCTCTTCGAACAGAACGGGCGCAGAGAGGATACCGAGGCCCTCTACCGCGAGACCCTCGCCGCCCAGGAGGGGCGCTCGGGTCCCAGCACCAGCAGGCCGTCAGCACCAAGCATAATATCGCGATTCACCCTGAGCAGACCGGGCGCCGAGAGGAGGCCGAGGCCATGTGCCGCGAGGTCTTCGCCGTCCAGGAGGGGGCGCTCGGGGCCCAGCACGAGCAGACCCCCAGGACCGAGCAGAATCTCGCGATCCTTTTGTTGAAGACCGGGCGCAGAGAGGAGGCCCAGGCCATGTGCCGCGAGGTCCTCGCCAGCCAGGAGGGGACGATCGGGGCCCAGCGCCAGGATACCCTCCGCATCGAGCATAGTCTGGCGGCCCTCCTGGAGGAGACCAGGCGCAGAGAGGAGGCAGATGCCCTCATGCGCTAGGGCCCCCCCGTTGGGGAAGGCACATTTGGGGCCGAGCGGTACATGAGAGAAATCTCGCACGCCTCCTCCGAGTTGTTGCGCCCGTGCAGGCGCATCGAAGATACTACGTTCGATGGCTAGTTCCCAGTTTGTTTTACAGCGCGCGGATGTTTCCCACCGTGCAGGGCTTGGCGTTGCGTGCTGAGACGGCATTCAAAGGTGCTCCCAACTTCTCAATAATCAAAAAGGGGGTCCACATCCCAGGAAAAACCTGCAGCAGTAGCATCTGTGGAAAACAGGGAGTGCCATGATTCCGCGTCTTCACTGGTTGTATTATACGATGATTTACCCGTTGCCGCACGGCCAGTCGTACCGCAACTCTCGTACAGATGTTGCTCAGCAGCATGTTTGGTGATCCATGGCCCGATCAGCTGCGTTTCTACATGCGCACTGAAATAGTCAAGTTGTCGTGCCGCGCGGGCCTTTTGAAACCGTGACGCTCTCCTCGCGCGGGCCGTCTCACGGTGGGCCGCGAGGCGGGCCATTGGCAACTCGTTTGTTTTTTTCTTTTTATTTTTTTCCGGCCAGGCTGAGGCCTGGCCAAACCCGCCACTGACGGGGAAGCCTCCGAACGATCGGCTGGCATGATATAAGACAATCCCCCATTAGCCCCAGATTCTGGGGATGCCTCATGGCGCGTGCCTCTTGGATGGCCCAAACTTCTCGTAGCAGTCGAAGCATGCGGGCACCTCAAGGAGGATCCGCCAAATATACCAGAGAGGAGCAGGAAGGAGTGAAGAGGAGTAGGAGGAGGAAGGATGAGGGAGCAAGTGTAGGACGAAATATGGCCGCCAGGGAGGGAGGAGGAGGAGGAGGAGGAAACGGAAGAGGTAGGAGGAGGAAAAGGAGGAGGACAGATCGCTTAGGACGGAGGGGGACGCCGAAGGAGAAGGAAGGTGTTGTCTCTTTGCCGTCTTCTCTACTTTGTCCTCCCGCCTGCTTCCTTGTCAGGTCACTAATATTCAGACTCATTCGTACTCAGACTCACATTCAGACTCTCTCATGCTTAAGCCCAGTTCGACTTAGACCAATCGCGCGCATATACACCTACACTAAGCGTGCACTCGGACCCATACCCATATGATCACTCACACTTGTGCTCACACTTAAACTCGCTCGCAGTCAGACTCACCCGCTCGCAGGCATCTCATACTCAGCCCACTCATCCCCAGACTTCTCTTGTGACCAGACAATCGCAGCGGAAAGTGCCAGGACACGAGATGCACATGTGGGGGTCCCCGTGTCGAGTAAATTGTCTATGACTCAATTCTGTAGTGTCCTCCACCTGCACCGCCTGGCGTTGCAGCGGTGCGCCAAGTTGGTGCTGATTGCGCGGCCCCTGGATTCGGTGGTTCTCAGCCGGGTCGGTTCAGCCAGGTGGGCGGGGGGACCCATCTACAAGACCGCATTTCCTTCATCCATCGAGGAATGGAGATTCGAGTAAGCACAAACGTTACAGGTCCGGGCGGGTTTCTCGGGTCGCCAGCGTCGACCCAATAACGTCCGCGCGGGCCTCCGAAAGTCCTTTGAGGCCCGATTGCCATATTTGACTACGCAGTGCCATCTTGTATGCCATCTTAGGTTGTAGATTGGAGGCATATTGGAAACATTTTCCTGTTCAGGCATTGGCTGCCATCTTGGATGTCATCTTGTGCTCTTGGAGGCAATATCTCGACCATCTGGGCCATTTTGGACGATCTAGCAACTCCCCCTCGTCCCCCTCCAGACCCAGGGGATGGGGCTAGGAGGGTCAAGACACCCTCCTAGATAGCAGGCCGTCTAGCCCACTCCAACCCGGTCTCCCAACACATACGTAACACCCGAGCCTCAGCATGTTCAGCGGAGCGGTCGTCTTTGGATGGGCAGCTACTGGGAACCAAAACTGAGCCCATGTGCGCGACGCTGAGGCGAGGTGCGCCACGCGTGCCAGGCGCGCCACGCGCGCCAGGCCTCTGGGGCCCGAGCATGCCAGGCACGCCTGGTGTGCCAGATGCGCCACTGGCTCCACGTGCGCCAGGTGCGCCGCATACTCCAGCTGGGCCAGGTGCGCCACGTTCGGGGCACGTGCAGAGTGAGTCAGGTGCGCCTGCGCACGTGACAGCACACATCGGGGAACATGTCGGCCCCCACCATCCATGTCGAAAACAAATGCCCATCATTGTGTCTGGTGGGCCTGCGCACAGCAGGCCATACGCCACAACCCCCGCCGTCCCTCCTAAACCCGCTCGACAGTGATCGCGGGGTGGCCGCGCATGATCCAGATTTAGCCGCGAGGTGCAATTCGCATTGTTTGTTTATGACAAAGGATGGTAGCCCTGTGCGCAGCAGGCAATATGCTGACAACCCCGCCGTCCATGTCAAAAACAATGCAAAGCACTCGCGGGCCTCACGACCATGACTCAAGACTTTGCAAACAAGTGTACTTTGTGTGTGTCTGTGTCTGTGTCTGTGTCTGTGTCTGTGTCTGTGTCTGTGTCTGTGTCTGTGTCTGTGTCTGTATCTGTGTGTGCGCGGGGCGCATCGGGTTGGTTGCGCATGCTTCCAATTTGGAGGCAGGATGTGGTTTGTATCGTGTTTTGATACGGATTGTTGGGGGTGTGGATCATAGGGTCGGCATTGTTACTGGTTGGCTGCCAGTCGCCTGGGAGAGGGGGTGTATACGTAGCACCCCGCAGATGCGGATAAGAGTGAGGGAGCGGTGGGGACGTCGGCAGTCTGCGAGACTCTGGAGAAGCCCGCCGCAGGCGCCAAAGTTCCTCACATTATACAACGAGCCCGCCGCAGGCTCCGATTTTTTCGTTAAACTAATCTGGGTAGGTCGCGGGTGGGTCGCAAATGGGTCGCGGGTGGGTCGATGTTGCGTCGCGGGTGGGTCGTGGGGTGGGTCGCGGGTGGGTCGCGGGGTGGGTCGCGGGTGGGTCACAAGTGCGTCGCGGGTGGGTCGCGGGTGGGTCGCGGGTGGGTCGCAGGGTGGGTCGTTGGTGGGTCGCGGGGTGGGTCGCGGGTGGGTCGCGGGTGGGTCGAGGGTGGGTCGAGGAGTGTGTCGCGGGTGGGTCGCGGGTTGGGTCGCGGGTTTGGTCGCGGGTGGGTCGCGGGGAGGGTCGAGGGGTGGGTCGCGGGTTGGGTCGCGAATTGGTCGCTGGTGGGACGACGACGACGACATCAATCAACAACAACAGCAACAACAACAACAGCAGCACCAACAACAACTCGGTCTTATCTGCTCGAGTGTCCAATAACGCGTATTGCCCAAACCCTCGATACCCGTCCTGTTCGTTTTCGATCGACCCCTTTTGGGTGGTATACCGTTCTTCCCTGCAGGCCGGGCCCCGGCAAGCGGCGGGGCGGCCGCGGACCGTCGGCCTGGCCAGCGGCAGCGCTGATCGGCGGGGCGGCCGCGGACCGTCGGCGCGACCTCACGAGGGACGGACAGGGGACCGACCACGATGGCGACGACGACGACGTCGACGGCGACGGCGACGACGACGACGACGACGACGGCGACGACGACGACGAGCGAAAGCGAGAGCGAGAGAGAACGACAGCAGGGCCACGAAGGACACGAAGTAGGCCACGAAGGGCCATAGCGGGGACACGAAGGGAATGCATATGGGGCCACAACGGGCGCGAACGAGCGGGGGCCACGAAGGGCAGATAATGCGGGGCCACAAAAGGCAACGATGGGGCCACTGAGGGTAGCAACTGGGCCACGTAGGACAGTGAGAGGGCCACAAACGGCGACAGCGGGGCCACGAAGGGCATGCACATGGGGCCACAACGGGCGCGAACGAGCGGGGGCCACGAAGGGCATGCGTATGTTGGGCCGCGGAGGGCAAGGACGGGGCCCCTGAGGACAACAACGGGGCCACGAAGGGCAGCGAGGGGGCCACGAAGGGCGACAGCGGGGCCACGAAGGGCATGCGTATGGGGCCACCACGGGCGCGAACGAGCGGGGGCCACGAAGGGCATACATATATGGGGCGACGAAGGGGCCACGACGGGGAACGAGGGGGCCACGAAGGGCTGCAACGGGGCCACGAAGGCTTACAACGAGACCACGAAGGGCTGCAACGGGGCCACGAAGGGCTGCAACGGGGCCACGAAAGGCTGCAACGGGGCCACGAAACAAAGCGAGGGGGCCACGAAGGCTGCAACGGGGCCACGAAGGGCAGCGAGGAGGCCAGGAGGGGCTGCAACGGGGCCACGAAACGAAACGAGGGGGGCACGAAGGGCTGCAACGGGGCCACGGAACAAAGCGAGAGGGCCACGAAGGGCTGCAACGGGGCCACGAAGGGCAGCGAGATCCCGATTCCTAGATAATATGTGAGGGAGTCCTAAGCGTGAGCGCGACTCCTGGGTGCCTCGGTGTCGGGAGCGCGGCGCTTGAGTAAATTGCAGGAAATTCAAACGCAAGGGCGCTATTCGTCAAATCGCAAGCGGGTCTCAAGCGAGAGCGCGACTGGAGAGCGCCGGGAGAGCGATTCCTGAAGAACTTGTAAAGAAGTCCCAAGCGAGAGCGCGATTCCTGAGCAAAATGCGAGGAAGTCTCGGGCGGGAACGGGGGTTCTGGCTAACTTGTGAGGAAGTCTGAGGCGGGAGCCGTTGTTGTTGTAACCCGGGGGCCAAGGGCACAATTTGAGCATCAAGACTTCCCCTGTCAACATCATGTTGCGAGTGTCGAGGGGCACGTTTTGATTTAGAAAAAAACGGTATGCACCGGTGGGGGGATCAGCAATATGTATTTTGCAGAAGTGAGAGTTAAAAAGAATCTGCAGCAGCAGCGACAAAAACAACATCAACAACACCACCAACAACAACAGCAACAACAACAACTACAACGCAACAGGGATAATCCTCACCACAGAGCCCCACTTCAGCTACGCACCCAGGGACCATGAATGACCGGTCGGCCCCGAAACAGTGGTAATGTTTCCCCTGAAGGCGATTTTGGAACCATCTTGGCGATGTGGGACGCTCTGGCCCCTCCCCCCCCGCTCCCCGCTCCAGGCCCAGGGGAGGGGCCACGGGGATGTCAAGACACCCTCCTAGATAGCAAGCCGTCTAGCTCACTCCCACCCGCACTCCCAACACATAAGTAACACCTGAGTCTCAGCATGTTCAGCGGTCGTTTTTGGGCAGGCAGCTACTGGGAACTAAAACCGAGCCCATGTGCGCGACGCTGAGGCGAGGTGTGCCACGCGTGCCAGGCACCCCTGGGGCCTGAGCGTGCCAGGCACGCCTGGTGTACTAGATGCGCCACGTGCTTCCGCGTGCGCCAGGTGCGCCGCATACTTCAGCTGCGCCAGGTGCGCCACGTTCGGGGCACGTGCAGAGTGAGTCAGGTGCGCCTGCGCACGTGACAGCACACATCGGGGAACATGTCGGCCCCCACCATCCATGTCGAAAACAAATGCCCATCATTGTGTCTGGTGGGCCTGCTCACAGCAGGCCATACGAAGCACTTGACAGTATTCGCGAGGTGGCCGCGCATGATCCAGAGTTCGGCGCGAGGCGCATGTTGCATTTATTGTCAGGGATGGTAGTCCTGCGTGCAGCAGGCAATATGCAGACACCCCCGCCGTCTTTGTCAAAGCAATCATAACAGGTGCTCGCGGGCCTCACGAATCTGACTCCAGATTTTGCCCCGAAGTGTACGATATTTTGTTTGACAGGGATGGTTGGTGGAGTCCTCATGGGGTCCTCATTGTTCCTGCCTGGCTACTGGTCGCCTCGGGGGGTAATCTTTATAGGGAACAGTGGTAAACCTTTTTTCACGAGGGGGAAAGGGTGTTTGGGAAAACGAAGCGCCTTTTATTCCTGTTCATTTTCGCTTGAACCGCTGGTTGGATTCATGCTTCGTCTCCTGCTCGCATGCGGCGCGATCGTGCTGCACATCGCTGGAGGAGTAAAGCGTTACTTTTCGCGCGGAAGCTACGTCGTGGTCAACGCATATCGCCAGCATGCACCAATCCTTTGGACCCAGAGGCGGGTCGGATGGACAATTGTGAGTGTATGTAGGTGTTGTGTGTGTGATTGTGCGTGTGCAAGTGTGTGTGCATGTGTGTGTTAACCGAGGCTTTTGTGCGGGGATCTTTTGCTTTGTGCCGATGCAGAATGCAATCGGCATTCCCCTCCCCTTTAATCAGCGGCCTTTTGCTTCAGAGTTGTGTCCCCGCCTCTGTCTCATCCGCTCCCTGGACTCGACCCTCCCATGTCCTCCATCTGCTTGCGCTAGATGGGCACCCCGTACTAAGGCTACGCTTTCCTCCCATGCGCTAGGTGCCGGGGGAGGCCAAGAGGGGAGGGTGGTGATGACTTTGGGGGGGCATATGGCCAGGGCAGAGGAACTTCGAAATCTCCTCAGTCTCACGACGTTCCCTGTCCCCCCCCCCCCGTCCGCGCACCTGCCTGAGGCCATGATTCTGCGACCCACCCCCTGAGGGACGCCCCCCCTGCTGGACCTTGGACGCCCCCGAAGGTGGGGCTGGGCGAGGGCGCGCCTCGGGACCGCCGCAGTCGGCCAGCGCGGCGGCCGGCCTCCGCTGCCCCTGCCGGCCGCGCTCCCGGCGTGCCCGAGGACGGGGCCATGACCAGCGTGCCCGACTGCTTCATGGAGAACCGTGGCCTCCTCGAAGAGGAGGGGCGGCAGGGGCATGGAGCGCGCTCTCGCCCGACTCGCTCTTGATGTTCTATATATACGCTTGGCGTGGCCCCACTAACCCCATCCAGAAACGATGTCCGCGCGAGTGTTGCCCTGATCTGGTACTGGTATGTGGATGAGCATGCAGCGGGCAAAGAGGGGTTGGGGGAAGCCGTCAAACCCCAATTGGGGGAGGAGGTGGAGGGTGGGGAGGAGAGTGAGGGGAGGAGGCGGAGGAGGAGCTGGAGGAGTGAGGAGGGAGGAGGAAAAAGTGGAAGAGGACGAGGAGGAGGAGGAAGAGGAGGAGGAGGAGGAGGAGGAGGAGGGCGATCAGGGAGGCCAAGAGGCCTCTTGGGTGTCTCTTCTCGTCGTCGTCGTCGTCGGCGTGTGTGCGTTGCGACTTGTTCGTCGTCGTCTGTCGTTCGTCGTTTGCCTTTGCTCATGGGGGGGTGACTGTAGCCCCCCCTTTTCCGACTTTCGAGAGGGTCGTTCTCGCCAGAAGAACGGATAGCCTTGGTGGAGGGGGAGGGACTTTCAAGGGGGCGTGGGTCCCGGTTCCGGCGATGAGGCTGGTGGGTTTTGTCAGTCACAGCGCTTGTGGATACGCTTCCTCGACAAGTGAAGCAACATTCCGTGACTGGTCACTGCAGAAGCGACGTGACGTGTTGCGTAGCGAGCATATTCGATCAATTGGATGGTGGGAGAGGTGACCATGTTGCGCCAAGAGGCTGTTCCGCGCCGCTGCTTCGCTTCAGTCTTCTGCCAGCAGCAAGCCTCCTCCGAATTGTTTGCCCCTATTTGTACCTCTGACTGGTGTGCTGCACCGCTCTCCGTGCTATGTCCGCTCCAATCGGTTTCGCTTGTGTGCCCTCTTGCAAGGCATCTCAATGTCCCTCCTCGGCGTGGCTCCGGCCAGCCACAGCATATTTTGTGCATGTTCGGTGCCCCATGCGTGGCATACGATGTTTCGATCAATCCCAACGAGTGGCCCCTGCCTGGCTCAGGTGGGCCTCTGCTAACGATGGCTCTGCGCAGGAATTGCCAGAGCGATTGCGCGGCAAAAGAAGTCGCGCAACGCGTAAACGTAAGGTCGCGCGTAAGCGCCCTCTTCGCCGTGCGGTGTGCCACGCTGGTGGCCCGCGTTAGCCGCGGCGCAAGATCGTTATAGCTTCTCGCATCAGACCCGTTTCTTCTCGCCGCTAAATTGGCACGCCACTGTTTGAGTCCGAGTCAGAACATCGAGGCGTCGTGCAGGCCCAGGAACGTATCGCGTTCGTTTGCCGTGCTGGGCTCCCCCACCCGTTTTGTGCTAAAGCGTCACATGCGAGGTGCGTTTGGGAGCGGGTGTGGCATCGTCCGTCTTGGGCTGGGATATTTGCACCATATTTTTAAAAGCGTATGTTATCTGGCGCGCGCTCGCGAGATGCCAGTCTTCCTAGTTTGCGACCTTGTCGAATTAAAGCCGTGCGCAAATGAGCACCCCACGCAATAACAGCCTCCCAGTCCAGTATGTCGCCTACCTCTGCGCTGCCCCGCTCCTCTCGTTTTGGCCACCCGCCGATCTCGGGAGCGCGCGAGGGGGAGGGCGACCGAGCAGCGGCGCCGGCGCGGGGGGCGCGGGAAGCAGGCACGCTGCTCGGCCCAGAGGCCCCAGAGCTCCCCGGAGCCGCCTCCTCTCGGCATCCTTTAGGCGACCCGTGTTCCCATCCCCGTCCCTTTCTCGGGGGCGGAAAAGAGGGGGGTGATGACTAGGGGGGGGTGGATATCATGGCGCGGGCCATGATATTTCCCCAGATTTCATGGCGCCTCGTCTTATTTCATTACGTCCCTGGCCCCCCCGCTGGGCCGCGCACATGCCGCCGGTCATGATTTGCACCCCCCCCCTCTTGGACACCCCCCTCTTTGCCGCTCCCGACTTTAGGCGACCCGTGTTCCCATCCCCGTCCCTTTCCAGACCCCCACCAGCTCAGCACCCCAGTCGGGGAGCTGAGCCCCTCGAGACCCGAAGGGCGCAGCCTGTATCCCTATCTGCTGGGGTGCATCGGCCACTGGGGTCCAGGCCAGGGGGAGGGGGAGGGGGAGGGGGAGGGGGAGGGGGAGGAGGAGGAGGAGGAGGAGGAGGAGGAGGAGAGGAGGAGGAGGAGGTGGTGGAGGAGGAGGAGGAATAATAATAATAATAATAATAATACTAACAGTAATAATCATAAGAAGAAGACGAATAATAATAATGGTAAGAATAATAATAAAAAGACTATTACTAATAATAAGAACAATAAAAAGAAGAATAATAACAATAATAATAATAAGACTAATAATATTAATAACAATAAAACTAATAATGAGATACATAATAATAGTAACAAGAAGAAGACGAAGATGAGGAGTTGGAGGAGGAGGACCAGTGTAAACCCAAAGGGCATCAACGATGTTGGAGTACACCCTCCCTCCAAGCTCCCCCTTCATAGGCCCCTACAACGGTTCATTTTTACTGCGGGAACTGCCTCGTTGGAAGACAGTTGTTTGAAGACCCTGAAACATGCCAAGACATTGTTCTCGGGATTCCAACACCACGGATCAACTTGACTGTTGCGTCTTGACGATTTTGAATCGTGCCAGAACGTCATTTCCTGATTTGAACACCGCGAGTCAACATAACTTGTGCACCCTCAAGCCTGAATCCGTCTGAGACACCATTTCTTGAACGTTGACCATGGGCATCGGTGAAATTTCTGCGATCATTTAAGATGAATGTGGTCGGCGCTAAGGCGAGAACCACACGTTGAAAAGGAACCGCCCTCAATCCGTGAAGCTCTTGCACATTTTTAAGACGAGTGTGCGCGGCGCTAAGGCGAGAACCACATGTCGAAAAGGAACCGCTCTCAATCCGTGAATATCCTGCAAATGTGTAAGAGGAGTGTGCGCGGCGGTAATGCGAGAACCACATGTTGAACACGACTCGTCCTGAACCCTTGAAGCTCTGACACTATGTAACACGAATGTGCGCGGCGCTACGTCTAGAGTCCCATTTTGAAAACCGCCCGCCCTCCATCTGTGAAGCAGCTGTAACATATTAAGCTTCATCATCATAAATGGTGAGGACGTCTCAGGCAGAACGCTCCGCCCGCTTCAAACATTGGCCTCAGGGTGCGACAGGGAGAAGTTACTTATAAGGAGGAGGCGGAGGAGGAGGAGTAGGAGGTGGAGGAGGAGGAGGAGGAGGAGGAGGAGGAGGAGGAGGAGGAGCAGTGGGAGGAGGAGGAGCAGGAGGAGGAGGAGGAGGAGGAGGAGGAGGATGTGGAGGCGGAGGAGGCGGAGGAGGGGGAGGGGGAGGAGGAGGAGGAGGAGGAGGAGGAGGAGGTGGAGAAGGTGGAGCGGAAGGAGGCCACGCCCACGGTGACAGGTGTCGGTGGTTCTAGCTTCCTCCACGGAGCGTGCGGTTTCCGGAGCTGGGGGACAACGTCGGAGGCTCAGAGGTTGGCACCAATTCTGACATCGGCGGTGGCCCTCCACCGAGGGGGGTCGTGGAAGATAGGTGTCCTTTGAGTCCCAGATTCCAATCTACTTTTGGCGCCTTCCTACTTCAATGATCGAGTGAGTTCACCTTTGCCGTCCTCTTCAGGGGGCGGGCGGACACCCAATTTTTCCCAACCATCCTGTGGTGTTGGGTCCTCGTTTTGAAGAGACGGTGCCCCGCGTTCCTCTCCTCTCCTCTCCTCTCCTCTCCTCTCCTCTCCTCTCTCCTCTCCTCTCCTCTCCTCTCCTCTCCTCTCCTCTCCTCTCCTCTCCTCCTCCTCCCCCTCCTCCTCCCTCCTCCCCCTCTTCCCTGCGTTTCACCCACCCATACAGCGTTTCGTAGCCCCATAGGAGCTCCACCGAAGGCCCCAGTGCGCGCCCGCATGCGTCACCCACACCCATTTCGGCACACCCCTCACACGTTTCGTGGCTCCATAGGGAGCTCCACCGAAGGCCCCAGTGCCCGCGCCCGCATGCGTCACCCACACCCATTTCGGCACACCCCTCACACGTTTCGTGGCTCCATAGGGAGCTCCACCGAAGGCCCCAGTGCCCGCGCCCGCATGCGTCACCCACACCCATTTCGGCACACCCCTCACACGTTTCGTGGCTCCATAGGGAGCTCCACCGAAGGCCCCAGTGCCCGCGCCCGCATGCGTCACCCACACCCATTTCGGCACACCCCTCACACGTTTCGTGGCTCCATAGGGAGCTCCACCGAAGGCCCCAGTGCCCGCGCCCGCATGCGTCACCCACACCCATTTCGGCACACCCCTCACACGTTTCGTGGCTCCATAGGGAGCTCCACCGAAGGCCCCAGTGCCCGCGCCCGCATGCGTCCCATTTCCACACCACATTTCGGCACACCCCTCACACGTTTCGTGGCTCCATAGGGAGCTCCACCGAAGGCCCCAGTGCCCGCGCCCGCATGCGTCACCCACACCCATTTCGGCACACCCCTCACACGTTTCGTGGCTCCATAGGGAGCTCCACCGAAGGCCCCAGTGCCCGCGCCCGCATGCGTCCCCACACCCATTTCGGCACACCCCTCACACGTTTCGTGGCCCCATAGGGAGCTCCACCGAAGGCCCCAGTGCCCGCGCCCGCATGCGTCCCCACACCCATTTCGGCACACCCCTCACACGTTTCGTGGCCCCATAGGGAGCTCCACCGAAGGCCCCAGTGCCCGCGCCCGCATGCGTCACCCACACCCATTTCGGCACACCCCTCACACGTTTCGTGGCTCCATAGGGAGCTCCACCGAAGGCCCCAGTGCCCGCGCCCGCATGCGTCACCCACACCCATTTCGGCACACCCCTCACACGTTTCGTGGCTCCATAGGGAGCTCCACCGAAGGCCCCAGTGCCCGCGCCCGCATGCGTCACCCACACCCATTTCGGCACACCCCTCACACGTTTCGTGGCTCCATAGGGAGCTCCACCGAAGGCCCCAGTGCCCGCGCCCGCATGCGTCACCCACACCCATTTCGGCACACCCCTCACACGTTTCGTGGCTCCATAGGGAGCTCCACCGAAGGCCCCAGTGCCCGCGCCCGCATGCGTCAGCCACACCCATTTCGGCACGCCCCTCACGCGTTCCGTGGCCCCATAGGGAGCTCCGCCGAAGGTCCCAGTGGGTGTGCCCGCATGCGTCCCGCACACCCATTTCGGCACACCCCTCACACGTTTCGTGGCCCCATAGGGAGCTCCACCGAAGGCCCCAGTGGGTGTGCCCGCATGCGTCCCGCACACCCATTTCGGCACACCCCTCGTACGTTTCGTGGCCCCGTAGGGGGCTCCACCGAGAAGATATTCACAATTGCAGTTTTCACAATTGCATATGGTTGGGTCCTTCGCCAGGATAATTTTCAACGCCATCGTACTTAATGTTTCTACCTACTTTACTTCTTCCGACCGATGGGTACCGAAGTATTCCCACCAGCACCGCATTTCGGGGTCATCTTCCCGAGTGGAGGCGACCCCCGTGTTGGTGTTGGTGCCCAAGTTCTGGGAGCCCACCAACAGGAGTGGTTCAGGATGGAGGTTGAGCGGGCGTTCGCGGATTCTTTTCGAACCTTTGCGACCCCCATTCCCGTCTCATGACTCCAGGTTTTCTAGAGATTCCCCTGGAGTCCCTGGAGCCTTGCAGAGCCCTGCAGAATCTTTCGGGGGGGCTCGATGACGTCGGTCGGCCGTCCTGGGAGCGCAGGGCCTTGTCGAAGGAATTGTGTGGTCGCGACAGCATCCCACATGTTGGGAAGCTCAGGCGTCCACACACCGAGCTCTTTGGCTGACCACACGACTGAGCCCCTCCGAATTGTTCGGATGCAAGTCCTAGAGAGTTTGATTCCGAAGTGACGCTGGTGTATCCGTGGTCGAATTAAAGGCCTGATCCTGAGGCGTCTTGCTTCATACGGGCTCATTTGGCTCGGTGGCCCCAGATCGGGCCCGCTATCGTTAAACCTCTCTGGAGGAGGCATCCCAGGAGTTGCCTCCTGACCCCCTCCGCCCGCCCCCCCGAGAATCCCCCTGGTCGAGGAACAGGCCGCCGCGTAAACATAGGCTTTGGCAGATCCGCGCAGATTGTTTGGATCGGCAGTGGACCCCCCGCCCTGGCGCGCGGGGCGCTCCGGCGGCGGCGCCGGAGGCGCCGGCCGGGGGGCTCCAGGACATCTCGCAGAAATCCGCGCGAAACTTTGGAAGTTTACGCCAATTCAAATGTCTTGCGTTAAGTCGGGCCTGTCCCTCCACAGGAGGCTTCCAAAAAAGTAAGAGAAAAACAGTCAGGGGACGAGTTTCTTCTATTTTTGAATATGTTTGGGCATTTTTTGCGATTAAGGAGGCGGACACGCCTGTAGGAGGACACGCCGACCTGAGCTCTGCGCCGTTCCGCCGTCCCCCAGTGGAAAAACGAAGTCTACGGGGTAGGCCCTGTGCCTCTTGCGAGCCGTTTGAGGGGCCTATCGGGCCATCTCTCGGGCCTCTGTGGGGCCTCTTCGGGAGTCTGTTGGGCGCCTGGCCTTCACGCCACGTCTGCTCCACAGCCTGCCCAGACTCGTCGATGACCCTCACCGCCCGCGCCCCCTCCCCCCCCCCCAGCCGGCGCGCGAGGTCGAGAAGGCGCGGGCCATTGCCGCAACCGCCAAGGAGTCCTGGGACAAGTTCCGCAAGGAGAGCACCCCGCGCCCCGCCCACCCCCCGCGCACGGGCCGGCGCACAGATCTCCGACGCATCGACCAAAAGGAGTCTTCGAGGAGCAAACGATGGCACAAGCCTATTACGAAGGCCTCACGGCCGGCACCGCCGACCCCGAAGACGGGACCTCCCCCCCCTCCTCCTCCTTCTCCTCCTCCTCCTCCTCCTCTTCCTCATGCTCCTCCTCCTCCTCCTCCTATTCCTCATGCTCCTCCTCCTCCTCCTCCTCCTCCTCCTCCTCTTCCTCGTGCTCCTCCTCCTCCTCCTCCTCCTCCTCCTCCTCCTCCTCCTCCTCCTCCTCTCCCTCCTCGTCCGACCCCCGCTGGCGACCCCCCGGGGACCGCCAGGGCCTGAGGGGGGGGGGCGGCATTCCGACCCAGGACCCCCCCCCGGCCACCCGCCCCGACCCACCCAGGCAGGGAGAAGGGAACAATGATGGGAGGGAACAGAGAGTGGCAGGAGCCCATTTTGTCGGAGGGAACCAGGGAGGGAACCAGGGAGGGAACCAGGGAGGGAACCAGGGAGGGAGCCAGGGAGGGAACAGAGAGTGGCAGGAGCTTATTTTGTCGGAGGTAACCAGGGAGGGAACCAGGGAGGGAACCAGGGAGGGAACCGGGGAGGGAGCCAGGGAGGGAACAGAGAATGGCATGGACCTGCTCCGTCGGAGGTGCATGCGGGCGTCTCGGATCGGCGCCGAACCGCGCTCCGCGCGCCAGGGAGGGGTTCAGCGCCGATCCACGAGATCCGCCCGGACGATGTGAGAACGAAATGTGCATGAACGTCTAGAGTCCGCGCGTCGTTGAAGGGTCCCGTGACTTGCACCTGACTCGAACAACAAATACAATCTCAGGAGCGCGACTTCCACAGGATGCACCACCGCCGCGTGGTGCAGGAGAAGAACAAGCTCATCGTGGACCTCAAGAGGCACCACCCATTCCGCGGCTCAAGTGGGAGGGGGATGGAGGCTCGTCGTCGAATGGTGGTCCGGTGGTATGGCTGAGGTCAGCAAACTCGATTGGACGGTTAAAGTCAAGATTTTTCTCCAAGTGGAAATTGGGGCAGAGAGCTGGACAAGCAAGACAGAGAGGTAGACGATTCACCAAAGCGTAAGCGGGAGGCCTGCGCCTCGTCTTCGTCCAGCAGGCCGACCCTCTTCCCACGAGGGCTGGTGGGAACAAACCAGCAAGAGCGACGGGCGGCAGGGGACGGAGGGACAGAGGAGGGAGGGAGGAGGGGGCAGGTGGGACCGAAGAGTGCGTCACGATCCCTGGGATTCGCGCGTGGGAGATCCATGAGATGCTCTACGGAACTGTTTGGTGTGGCATGCGCGTTCCAGGAATGGAGAATTCAGAGTCGGTGTACAAAGAGATTGGCAGCGTTATGAGCATGAGTGGCTTCACCATCCCCGACATCAAGCAGCGCTCTAACAGGGTACTCGCATCATATGCGCCCATTGCCACGCGAGTCAGGACTAACAACGATGCGTGTGCTTAGCGGTCTTGTCGCAGCCTCATCTTGTCAAAAATGTTCTGAGCTGTCATGAACTGCTTTCTGAGGGCGTTGAACACGCGTGGGCTGCGTGTGTGCGTTCGACGTGACACCGCGTAGACTGTGACGGTACTGCTCTGCTGGCACTACCATCGAATTGCGCCAGGTTCGCCAACGCGTTTTTGTTTGCTCTAGATTTCCCAGATGGGGCCCGAGCAGAGGGTTCGGATAGTCGCGCCGCATCGCCGATGCATCGCCGATGCGGCTCCATGTATAACCCCATTTCCTCCACGCGGATGGCGCCGATGCATCGCCGACGTCGCCGATGCATCGGCGATGTGGCGCGATCCTCCCACCCCATCTGCTCAGATCCCATCTGGGAGGCCTCTATTTGGATGCATGGTTTCAGCCTTCTGGGGTCCGAAAGAGGTGCTCTGCAGGTGCTGCTGTCAAAGAAGTGAGCTCGGACCGATAGAGCTCGGAGGCGTTCCCCTGGGGCCCGAAAAGCCAGAGACGACTTGTACGAGTGCGTTCGGCTTGGAGCCAGCTGGGGGGCTGAGGTGACCCAGCACTGGTTCAGTGCCGGCAGGAAGGTGGGAGAAAGGGGGCCACCTCGCCGCCACGACGGGACGCGGCTCGAAACCCTTGGCCGTTTCGACCCCGGGCAGGGGGTCGGGGACCGATTCTGTGCGGAGTTGCCTTCGTCCCCCCCTCTTGGCAGATGTTCTTTGGGCTTGTCCAGCTCAGACCCCGCGGCCGCCTCCACGGAACAAATGACCGCGTCCTATGCCCGCGCTGAAACCCAGAGGCGTGGCCCGGTGTCGTTTCGTACCATGCGGACACAATGGCGCGCGCCAGAAAGGCCTTCGCCTTCGAACATCGAAGGAGTTGGCATCTCTTCTCCGCTGCGGAAGTCGGCAGAAGGCCAGCTGAAGGCGGCGGAGGTCAAATTAGGCCGCCTCCGCCCTCGGAAGGCTGGCGGAGGTAAAAACCTGTCTCTCGAGGGCAATTTTGTTTGGTGCAGGGTTTCCGGAAACTGCCACATGTCGGCGATTGCAATGAGTGAGGTTGCGCCGAGGTGTGGCTTGCGATCGGCGCCCTTGGTGCTTTGGGGGTCACTGCGGTGCGCCAAATGTTTGGGCCCTAGTCGGGGTGCGGCAGCGATCTCCGTCGAGGTCCTGGTCCGCACCCCCTCAGGTGTGCGTTGCAAACCACAGTCTTTGTAAACCGCCTCCCAAATGGGGTTAGAGTAGGTGGGGTCAGACGATCGCGCCGCATCGCCGGTGCATTGGCGATGTGGCTCGATGTGGAGCCCGATTTTCCCCACGCCTGCGTCGCCGATGCATCGCCGACGTCGCTGGTGCATCGGTGATGCGTCGGCGATGCGGTTCGATCCTCTTACCCCGTCTAACCGCAGGAGGTCTTTGGTTTCAGCCCCCCCTCTTGTTTCTCTCGGCGAGGAACAAACTCGACCCTCCTCCTGCTCCTCCTCCTCGTCCTCGCCCCCTCCTCCTCCTGCTCCTCCTCCTGCTCCTCCTCCTTCTCCTCGTCATCCTCCTGCTCCTCCTCGTCTGAATCCCAAGGAGGAGGAGGAGGAGGAGGAGGAGAAGGGAAGGAGGAGGAGGAAGAAGAGGAGGAGGGAAAGGATGCGGAACAGGAGGAGGACGAGTGCGGCGGGTGCCGCGGAAATATTTACTTCCCATTCTTGGTCGGACCCAGTCCATCAATAAGGTCGCCGAAAACGATACTCACTTTCCAACTGGTGGGAGTGGAGGCTCTAAAGACCTATCGCGGTTACTCGGGCCCCATCTAGGAGGCCTTCAGGTGCCCGCTTTGATCGCAGGCCTGCCGACTCGGACGGATTTTTTGGGCGCCTCACCCAACAGGGGTCCAGCCCGCAAAGCTTTTGGTTCACGCGGATCCTGGCGGATAGGAGGAGGAGGCGGAGGAGGAGGAGGAGGAGGAGAGGAGGAGGAAAGGGAGGAGGAGGAGGAGGAGGAGAAGGAGGGGGAGGGGGAGGCGGGGGGGGAGGGGGAGGAGGACAAGCTAGGTGCGCTCGCGTCATATCTGAGGCTCTACTCCTCCCTCCCATCCCTTACCATGGCGTAGCTCTCTTCTCTATTCGCACGATCGGATGTCGTAGCATGGCATAGCATTACATGGCATAGCATGGTGTTGAAAATCAACGCATAGCATGACATAGCATGGCGTGGCGACGCCCCAAAGGGGGAGGGGCTTCTGCGGCCCCCAAAATCAACGAATCCACACTGGATGTGTAATCACTTCCGATGTTGTTTTTTTTCCGGGGGGGCATTTTCTAGATTTTGGAGCCTATTTGGAAAGACCGAAAACCAAAAACCATGCCGTGGCATGGCGCTGGAAATAATGACGCCAGCGCTGCAGCGGGAGTACGACTCGGAATGAGCGGAAGCACAGAAATGAGGCCAGCGCTGCAGCGGGAGCACGATTCGGAACGAGCGGTGGCCCGAAAATGAAGCCAGCGCCTCAGCGAGAGCAGCATTTTGGAAAAAACAGCGAAAACCTGTTTTCATGAAATCCTGCGTGTAAAACACCAGTACGCGAAGGGGGCCGGCCATTCCCCAGACGTTACCAGAAAAAGAGAAGAGTAGTATTCAGATTGTATTACTGTGGATGGGGGAGGAGGAGAAGGAGGATGAGGAGGAGGTAAAGGAAGAGGAGGAGGAGGAGCAGGAGGAGGGGGAGGGGCAGGGGCAGTGGCAGGGGGAGGGGGAGGGGGAGGAGGCGGGGGAGAAGGAGGAGGAGGAGGAGGAGGAGGAGGCAGAGGAGGAGGAGGAGGAGGAGCATTGTACGCATGCTAAGACGATGGAACTTTGAAGGGGTGCATTCTGGGAGGAATCTGGGTGTGGATCAGACTATGCAGAAAGGTTCCCCAGGAGCCAAGACTTTATCTAAACGTCTTGGGAAGCTTCGGGTTCGGGCTGGCCGTATTCGAGGGCTTCGGAGTTCACGCAAGGGTATGTTTCGGGTTGCCCGATCTGGAGGTTTCGCGTCGGCTACGTATGGATGCAGGGTGCAGGGCATGGCGACCACTAGACTTGCACAACTACGCAGTACGCTGGGACAAGCACTGTTTGGGACGCCCAAAGGCCGTTGCCGTACCCTTGAGTTCTTGCTCTCTGTGGACCCCGAGAGTGACCCCAATTACGACGCACACTCCTTACCCATTTTGATGTGGGGCCACGCGGCCCGTCAGAATTGGATCCCGCACAAGATTATGGTGTCCAGCTTTCGAGAGTTTCACAGCCGTGCTGCTCGTGGGTGGCAGGATGTTCGTGGGCCTGCAGGAGCAGTTGTGCTCACGATCGAGCGGCTTGGCTGGACGATCATAGATTGGCATCTCTTTCGCACGCGCTCTGGAGTTGATGTCGATATATTGGAGTTGGGCTATCGTTATTTGAAGATGATTGTGCATCAGAGTGTTCGGGACATGCTTCTCACTGATCTTGGGGACGGGGTTCGCGTTCCTGGACTTCATGGGAAGCCTCTGTTGGAGCCGATGTTGGAGGTCCTGGCCAGGTTACGTAAGCAGGGCAGGCAGACTGCAGCGAATGGGTTAGCAGGAGTGGTGGCAGGAGGGTATCCGACTCAGCTCCGTCTCTTCGACGATCGGCGGGTGATCGGCCCGAATTGCCAGGCGTGCGGTGCAGCCTTGGGCACCGCGCGACACCGCTTCCAGCGTTGCGATTTCTCTGCCCCTCTACGGAGGGACCTTGATGTACATGATCTCCTGGCCGAACCTGAAGGCGAGGAAACAGAGTTGCTCATTACCCGAGGGCTCCTGGAGGCTCCAGTGGATTGGCCAGCGCCGTACACAGTTGCTGGCCACAGGTGGGATGTGGTGCCGCCTGGGGCGTCCTCGGGCCTCGTGTGTGTATCGACGGGTCTGGGCCGGACCCCGAGTTACCTCAGTTTTCCAGAGCTGGATGGGCGGTGGTTTCTGTGTTCCCAGATGGTTTTGGAGGTTGGGTTCATTGGTCTGCTTACGGACCACCCCCACATGCGGTGCAGGTGGCTGGGTGTGGGGAAGTCTATGCCTTCTACATGTGCCTCAAGCTTGCAGGTCCAGAGCCCATGGAAGTGGCGACAGACTGTGCTATGGTTATTTCTGTATGGAATTGTGGGCTCAAGCAGGATCTAGAGAAAGTCGCCTTCTCGGAGATTTGGGTTGACATCTTCCGCCTCGGGGACGACATAGGCCGCGATAGAGCGACGCTTAGCAGCATAGAGTCTCACTTATCCCTCCATAAGCCCCGTGTGCGTAGGATTGATGAATGGAAATGGAGAGGGAATAAGAAGGCGGATGAGCTGGCCAAGAAAGGAGCCAGAATCCAGCCTTCAAACCCTCCCACTGGGGTGTTATATGAATTGCAGTTGCCGAGAGTGCGGCAAGCAGCCTGGTTGATAGCCGAAGTTATGGATGGGCTCAGCTCTCGGTCCTTTCCTGATGTGGTTCGGCCTCGTCGGTCTAGAAGGGCCAAGCCGTGTCTCCTGGAACTGGTGCCCGATCCCAAGGGCCATGCCATCGAAAAGGTCGACAAGTCAGCCTTTAGGTGTTTGCGTTGCGGCGAGAAAGGGAAGTCTCGTGCCGCGGTTTCAGCGTTTCCCTGCGGTGGCCCTCCAAGGGTTGCCAGGTACAGCCACAGGACACATAGCGTGTGGTTGATGGGTGGTCGTATTGCCTGGTGCTCGCGTTGCGGGGCCTTTGGCGAGAGCAGATCGCACAACCTAAGCTCTGTGTGTCCCAAGGGGCCTGGTAATCGCCATGCAGCAGGGACATTAAAGCAGCTGAAAGCAGGCACCAATCCCAGCAGTAAGTCGTATGTTGGGAGATCGGTGCCCCTTGTTTGGTCTACTCAGGGTTGGGCTTCGATGGGCCAGCCTGAGTAGCGTTCCTGTCGTATGTTTGCTACCTCATCGCTTCAGCCTCGTGCGCGGTGACGGAGCTTCCTGAGTCCAACGGGAGTCCAACAGGAGGAGGAGGAGGAGGAAGAGGAAGAGGAGGAGGAGGAGGAAGGGAGGAAGGGAGGAGGTAGAGGAGGAGGGGCAGCAGGAGTAAGGGGAAAAGAAGCAGGAGGAGCAGGAGAAGGAGGACACGGAGGAAGAGGAGAAGGGGGAGGGGGAGGGGGCTTGTGGACATCAGCGGGTGCTGGTCCACGAACGGGTGCGCAGAATAAATCATATTGTTTTTTATTTTTTTATTCTTCCTGTGCCAGTTCTTCGATGTTCACTCCCTACAGTATAAGACGAAGGATTTCCTGGGCTCTGGAAGGAGGTATGGGGAGAGTATGCTGAAGAGTATCGTATATCGGAAGATGAAGCCTAAACCTGAGGAGGGTGTCACAAGTACGGGAGATGCGAAGGTGCACGCGGCGTTGCCGGGTTTCGTTGCTCCTCTTCTCGGGCATGTTTTTCTCGCTCGGACGTCGAGCTTTGAGCCAAACAGTGCGGCCATATAGCTGGCGCGGGGATGGCGTTGCCACGGTTCCCGCGCTTCTGAAGCGGATTGGTGCCGACAGAATGCACCAAACATTCGGCATCATATCCTTAACCGAACTACTATTGTGCATGCCAGTGCCACGCGCTGCTATGCTATGCCATGCCTCACGCACCGCACAACACAACAGAAACCAGGATGCATATGAAGCGCGATTTAACCGCCAATGTGCGGGAAACGTTTTCCGGTCACCTGGCGGTTTGGCCAGGCACAGTTTCGGAGGCACTCCCCACACACGTTCCTCTTCGGGAGTCGTGGCATGCTGCTGCAATCTCCCGCACCTCGCGCCGACATGTAATACACAAGCTTCTCGGCGCGGTGCGCCATCTTGGGACATTGATTGGGGCATTTAAGCCGTCTTCGGTTCATCTCGGAGGGCACCGATCAAAGACAAGAGAGGGGGCTACTAGCGTCACCCCTCGCGGGCGGTTCAACTTGCTTTTTGGAGCTCTCTTAGGGCGCTCGTATAGCGCTCTTTGGCGAAACGGACAAACTAGTTGATGTCCTTGGCTGGAGATGGATTTGGGTATCTTGGAGGTGTCCTGGGGAGGCTCCGTGGCCACTTGGACCCGTCCCGGAGCGGTCTGGGAGTCCCGAGGAGAATGGTGTAAGCCATCTCGAGACATCTTGATGTGCCTGGTGCCATCTTGAACGCGAAGGGAGGGAGGGGGGGAGGGGGGAGGGGGGAGGAGGAGGAGGAGGAGGAGGAGGAGGAGGAGGAGGAGGAGGAGGAGGAGGAGAAGGCATCTGAGGCCATCTTGGAGCCATTTTGGGCCATCCCTGACACTGTGACGCCAAGCGTGCTCGTGCTGTACGGCTGCACTCGCTGGGCCCTCACCAAGGACATGCTCCTTACACTGCGATGCACCCAACGACGCATGCTGCGATTCATCTTGGGCACACCCAGACGGAAAGCGCCAACAGCGGGCAGCACCGACATTGGTAGCGACGCAAAACCCCAACCTTGACTTGCATGGCGACGTCACGAGCACAAGCGACAGCATGCGTACCAACGACGCCAGGGCACAAACTCACCACGACGCCGTCGAAGACAGACTCCGACCCAGAACCGCGGGAGGATTTCATTCGCAGAGCTAACCGTGCGGCTGCAGATCTAACGACACACGCTTCAAACTGGACGACCAGACGACCCTCTACCACAAGCGCCAGTGGCGATGGGCAGGGCGAATCTCAGCACAATCCCGCCACAGATGGACCATGCTTGCTGCAGCGTGGATGCCCGTTGTCCACAGCCCCCAGGCATCGATGCGCAGACACGGAGGGCTTCGCAAGAGGTGGCGCGACTATATTGCACAGTTTTTACGATCCACCATTGGTCAGAGCGTGCATTACCTACCCCGCTTTCGCTTCCAGGCAAAACCAAGTCATACCACGCGCCTCCTCGTCAAGCGGCCTGACCAGTACAGGCTGCAATTTGGCATCGTTTGGTATCTCTTGGAAGCGAGGGTGGTCAAAAGCGAGGTAGGTTTGTTTTCCCCCTAATTGGGGATGATGCCATGCCGTGGTTGGATGGTGCTGGAGATGGGACACTGCAGAACAATTGGGAGCCGTATGTTTTTGCACACGCGCACATCTGACCGGGCCCCGGCCCGCCCGCGCCGCTCGGCCTAGCCTGCAGGCGCGTCCCGCCTCGTCTGGGCCGCATCTGAAGTGCCAACGACCCGCCGCTTCCCCCGCTTCTGGACGAGCGGGAGGGGGAATGCTAAGCCCTTCCCGATGGCGGAACATGGCGTTTGGACGAAGACGAACCGAGAAACATCCCGATTCCCCACCCGAGGCTGGGATTCCTTACCCGACAGGCTGGGGTCGTCTAGATGCAAAGAAGCGGTTCCCTCATCCGTCTCAGACACCCCGCATCTTGCATGCCGCACCGCCAGACCCGAAAGGGCCCAGTGTTTCTTGGGTGTGCCGGCTCGCGTTCCCGGGTAGGGACCGTTCGGGTGGAGACAGAGCGAGAGACAGTTCACCATGTAGAATGGTCCGGCCCACTGTTGAAATTATATTTGGGTGCGCCAGCGTCCTCGTTTGTCAAACTCTCTGTCTATGGGGCCTTGATCTTCGCACAGTGGATGTTTGCGTGAGCTGGGCGGCAGTTGTCTCCAATGATGTCTGCGCTTCGAAGTTTGTGCCCGTACGTCGTCTCTGTCTTGCTAAACAAGAGCCTGTTGAACAGTGGCACAGGCTTGGGTAGGCTAAGGGTAATTTTGGTTGTTTCATGTAAACGCATGTTGGCTCAGTTTTCTTGTGGAGGGCGATGTGCGGTATTCGGGGGATCGCAATGTGTCAACACGGTTATTCGCAAATTGGTTACCATGTGTGGCCCAGCATTGATATTGCTTTGCGCGAAGGCTAAAGAAGCATTACGAGCAGTATGAGCCCACACTTACGGAATTGAGGCACAAGTACGAGGTCGGCTTGGGCAGTGGAGGAACGATTGTTCGAACCAAGGCAGCACAGCGGCTTGGCGAAGACCTGGAGCTACGCGAGGGAGCAATCAAGAGGTATGTTGATTGACGGCCGTTGCAGTTCCGAGTAGCTGGGGGTGCCGCGACGTTTTACGCCGCGCCTGTTCCCAGCCCCTGCGTAGGAACCCAGCCCAGTTCCGGAAGGCGCGAATGCACGGCTGAGCAGAGATCGGGTGTTGCTGAAGGTGCCCCTGGCCCAAGGTGCCCTTAGTTGTTCGCTCCATTTGGCAGCCCCTGGGTCCCTCTGGGCCTCCTGAGGGGTGCTCCGGAGGCCCTGGGAGCCTCCCTGGGAATCCTGGTGGCACTCTGGGCCGGGGGGCACTCCTGGCAACACCCGAAGAGAGGCCGGCGAGCCACGACAGGGCAGGCGAGGGCGGCGGGCCGACAAGGGCAGACGGGCAGGGGAACCGCTGTGAGGCCCACCTTGCCCTTCGGCGTGCATCTTGGCTGGAGTTCGGCGGCGAGCGCGGGGGGCGAAGCTCAAGCAGTGGCAAAGAATGTTCTAAGGACCTTGTGTGGTCTGCACGGAATGTTCTTAGAACGTTTCTGGCCGAGACTGTATTGTTTTAACGCATGGGGTTTATGTTCTAAGAACATTGTTTAGTTCTTAGAGCATTTCTTGGGCCTAAGAACATGTCGTGGTAGGCCTATAGAAATGCCCGGACGGTCGGCCTCTGCCCAAGAAGTGAGAAGGGGCGGGCCTTCTCAGAAGGCTCGGAAGCCCCCTGACCTTCTGAGAAGTTTTCTCAGCCTTCCCCGAAGATACGGGAAACTGTTCAGAAAGCGCGAGGACTCTTGAGAAGCCCCGCTGCCTTCTGAGGAGGCCTTCTCCTTCTCATTTCCACCCCTCGCTCGCCGCCGAGAAGTGTTGCAGTTTGTTTGGCCGCCGAAGTGTTTTTTCGCCTCTGCAGTTGCGGTTGGATCGAGTTCTGACGTTGTCTATGAAAGACTTGCGGGCATCAAGATGCAATCCCTGGGAAGATAAACTCAGCATAGGCTTTGGCATGTCCGTGATCGTAATCAGGCCGAGTCCTGCATAGTCCTTGTGCTTCCGCGCAATCCCGCTCAATTCGCCTTGAGTTTGGGATCAATTCGGACTAATCCCGGTTCAGTGGCTGTTCGTTCGGGAATAATAGCCCATGACCGTTCTTACGAATACATCCCAGGAGTTGTTTTCTGATGGAGATGTGAGATAGAGTCGAGAAAATTGAATTTAAAGCATGCTAATTATCTCTGAGAGTGGCGTATGGGGAGGGAGGGAGGGGACAACGGGATCGACGCGCGCAGCAGAAATGTGTGTTCGTTTCGATATTGGGTAGGCCGTGTGGTGAGTGCCATCACTTTTGGGGGCAGTCATTGAGGTCGCACGGCCACCGCGGGCAAAGGCACAGTCATGCGCTGGAGGGTGGAGGGTTCTCGATAAGGCGCGCCGCATCTGATCGCCAATTCGATTGATGCAGACCGACTGCAGAAATCGATTGCCATTGTCGGGCTCTAGACGGGGCAGGCTTTTGCGCAGTTTTGCGGGGCACAGATAATGTGCAGAAGCTCTTGTGCCAGCGCCAGCATGTTACCTATCAGTGATCCTTGCGACGGTTGAGTGTGGTGCTGGGCAGGTGGCTATGAAGGAGAAGATGTTGATGAGGCTAGCGTGTCTTCAAAACACGTGTTTTCTTACGTCGCTCCTTGCTGGTAGTATGTTTCTCCGAAACAGGGTTGCACCCGGGGGTGGGGGGTCATTTGCGTTCTAGCGAGTTGGCCAGTTTTTTGTTTGTTTTTGTTTTTTTTTGGGGGGGGGGTTGTTGTGTTTGGACGAAGGTTCAGACATCGTCGTCGTCGTCGTCGTCGCCAAGTTTGTACGTGGGTTTCCACGGCGCCGCCGCATATTTTTCCCACCTCATGTTGTGCAACAAGCAGGCTACATGGCATTGCTTGGACTCTGCACATTGGCACATCTGTGTGCACACATTTATATCTCTATATATATAAGTACATATTTACACAGAGCAGCGTCTCCAATACAATTGACCCTACCACCATCCAGATCCCTGACCTATTGTTTCACCACTGGGTATTACAGTTGCATGTGATTCTGCGTCATCGCTTGGTTTCCAGAGGAATCCATATCGTCCAAGCCCAGCAGGTATCGACACTCCCCGACATCCGTGTCAACCAATACAACGTGCACACACATCTTAGTTGCAACACGGAAATGACAACCCATTGGTGTTCTAACGAAACGTTTGCAGATGTTCTACCCACGCATACGTTTTGAAGTACTAGGAATACGCAATCTCGTCCACAAGACGCATTCTCATTCCACCACGCGGCCGTGCTTGCCACATGCAAGCGCCGCCACGTGCTCGCTTCGAGAACCTTAATTTTTATGCTCCACATATTTCAATTTGCCTGGCGAAGGACCAAACCACATGCAGTTGTGACTAACGCAAATGCGGATCTCGTCTTCGGTGGTGCCCTATATGGGGCCACAACACGTGTGAGGAATGTTATCGGAATTGGCGCGGTGAGCGCATCCGAACGCAGCCACTGGGGGCTTCGGTGGAGTTTCCGATGGGGCCACGAAAGGGGTGAGGGGTGTGCCGCAATGTGTGCGGCTTGCGCATGCGTCCGCCGCTATTGGGCCATCGGTGAAACTCCTTAAGGGGCCGCGTAAAGTGTAAGAGGTGTACCAGCATGGACTGAGCGGACGCATGCGGACACCGCAAGTGGAGCCTTGGGTGGCGCTCCCTCTGGTGCCACGAAGCGTGTGGGTGGTGAGCCGAAATATGTGGGGCGGACGCATGCAAACACCGCCACAGGGGCCTTCGGTGGCGCTCCCTATGGGGCCACGAAGCGTGTGAAGGGTGTGGTGCAGTGGACGCATGCGAACGTAGCCATTGCGGCATTCGGTGGAGCTCCCTGCGGGGCTACGAAGCGTTCGAGGGGTTTGCCCAAATTGGTGCAGTGGGCGCATGCGAACGCAGCCATTGGGGCTTTCGGTGGCGCTCCCTGCGGGGCCACGAAACGTGGCAGGGGTCGAAATGGGTGGGGCGGACGCATGCGAACACCGCTACAGGGGCTTTCGGTGGCGCTCCCTATGAGGCCACGAAACGTGCGAGGGTGTGCCGAAATGAATGCAGTGGGCGCCTGCGAATGCAGCCATTGCGGCCTTGGACGGCCACGGAACGTACGAGGGGTGTGCTGACATGGTTTTTTGGTGCATTGGGCAGAGGCAGGGATGGGACGTTGGAGGAGGAGGGGGAGGAGATGTGAGGTCGGGCGTGGGTCGCTGTCTCTTCAAAACGAGGACCCAACGCCACAGGCGTTTAGAAAACCGAACCAACATTTTGTGAACGCGAAGTCTGTCAGATCTGTTGGCTTCTTCATCGCCCTCATCAGCGCCACCACATCACCGCCGTCATCGTCATCGTCAATCGCTGCCCTTGCTGACATTGTCATCACCGAAGCCTTCATTGCCGACGCATGGAAGTTATCTTCGTCATCGTCGTCACCAGCATCGACGCTGTCGTTGGCCCTGTCGTCGTCATCGTCATCATCGTCACCACCCTCGCTGTTATCATCATCGTTGTCGCCCTTGTCATCAAGCCGCATTGAAGTGCCCGCCTGCCAGTACGGTCTTTGACACCCCTGGATAGTTCCCATTGGTAAGCGCCATCGCGATTGCATCGGCTGTGCCAAGCAGGTTAATCTCTTTGCGCGCGAGCGCGCGCGCGTGCCAGCGCGGCCAGAAAAACGCGCTCGCAAGGTGCAAGTGGGAACCGCGAGCGTGTTCGAACGGGTTTGGCCAAGCACGTTGCGGGTGGGTGCGTGGGGGACAAATTTCCGAACAGTCTAGTCAGGTGCGTGGTGGGGAATGAAGGATGATAACCAACAAAATTGGAGAAGGCCAGGCCACCACACACTTGGCTTCCTCCGTCGCCCCGCTCCACCTCAACGACGGGCGCATGGTACTCATCGGGAAGCGTGTTGTTGGGGGGGGCGCGGTGTCAGCAAGCCAGGAGAGTTCAACATACCCACGCACACATTCATTCCTTAATCAGTGCTTGCACTGAAGGGGTCCTCTATGCTGCCTAATTAAAGAATAATATTGCGCTGAAGGGGTCCTAGCAGAAGTTGACAGATTTGGCGAAAGTTTTCCGCCGATTTGGGTAGCAGGCTGGGTTCCCGGCTTCCCGGTTCTGGGTTCCCGTGTTCCCGATTATTGGTTCCGGGCCGATTTCGGTGGGTCTTGGGTTCCCGGGTTCCCCGGCTCCCGGTCGATCTCCTCGGCGAAAACCATCCAGTGATTTGGGTGTTTTCCCGGGTGTGATATATTTTTAGGGCGTCGCGGCCACGCGCGCACGCGCGCAGCGTCACGGTGGAGTTGGACAGGGCGGTCGCACGCAAACCCACACACACACACACGCGAAATCCTCAGGGGCGGGACGGGACTCCCGCGCACCCGACGGCGGTCCCCGCCCTTCGTGGTCGGCTCGCGGGGCCTGCTCCCCCGGCGGCTTCTCGCGGGGAGCGAAGGGGGAGTAGCGCGGTGCAGGCACCCTGCCTTGACGAAGCACCACAGCACCAAAACACACACACACACACCCACACACACACACACACACACACACACACACACACACACGCACACACACACACACGCACACGCACACACACACACACACACACACACACACACACACACACACACACACACACACACACACACACACACACACACACACACGCACGCACGCACGCACGCACGCACGCACGCACGCACGCACGCGCACACACGCACGCACACACACACATGTATATATATATATATATAATTACATACGCACTCAAACACACCCACACACAACACTCACACACGCACACGGGA